AAAAAACATTCATATCTTGTCTGACATCGCTGCTACAAACTCGGGCCTACAACTCGGGCCTTTAATTGAAGACCCGAGTTGTAGACCCGAGTTTGTAGCACAGATGTCAGACAAGATATGACTGTTTTTTTGGGCTCAAATGAAAGAGCGGATCGAGAAATGGCGTGCAGATGCCTTTAAAGATGGCTTTGAACCAGGGGAGACTCCTAGACTCCAATGTTCTATACATACTCCTAGACCCCATTGTCCTCCTAGACACTGCTTTTCAGTTGAAAACAGACATCATCTTTAGAGACATTTGTCATGTTTAGAGGCCCTAGCACGCCATTTCTCGAGCCGCTCTTTCATTTGAGCCCAAAAAAACATTCATATCTTGTCTGACATCGCTGCTACAAACTCGGGCCTACAACTCGGGCCTTTAATTGAAGACCCGAGTTGTAGACCCGAGTTTGTAGCACAGATGTCAGACAAGATATGACTGTTTTTTTGGGCTCAAATGAAAGAGCGGATCGAGAAATGGCGTGCAGATGCCTTTAAAGATGGCTTTGAACCAGGGGAGACTCCTAGACTCCAATGTTCTATACATACTCCTAGACCGCATTGTCCTCCTAGACACTGCTTTTCAGTTGAAAACAGACATCATCTTTAGAGACATTTGTCATGTTTAGAGGCCCTAGCACGCCATTTCTCGAGCCGCTCTTTCATTTGAGCCCAAAAAAACATTCATATCTTGTCTGACATCGCTGCTACAAACTCGGGCCTACAACTCGGGCCTTTAATTGAAGACCCGAGTTGTAGACCCGAGTTTGTAGCACAGATGTCAGACAAGATATGACTGTTTTTTTGGGCTCAAATGAAAGAGCGGATCGAGAAATGGCGTGCAGATGCCTTTAAAGATGGCTTTGAACCAGGGGAGACTCCTAGACTCCAATGTTCTATACATACTCCTAGACCGCATTGTCCTCCTAGACACTGCTTTTCAGTTGAAAACAGACATCATCTTTAGAGACATTTGTCATGTTTAGAGGCCCTAGCACGCCATTTCTCGAGCCGCTCTTTCATTTGAGCCCAAAAAAACATTCATATCTTGTCTGACATCGCTGCTACAAACTCGGGCCTACAACTCGGGCCTTTAATTGAAGACCCGAGTTGTAGACCCGAGTTTGTAGCACAGATGTCAGACAAGATATGACTGTTTTTTTGGGCTCAAATGAAAGAGCGGATCGAGAAATGGCGTGCAGATGCCTTTAAAGATGGCTTTGAACCAGGGGAGACTCCTAGACTCCAATGTTCTATACATACTCCTAGACCGCATTGTCCTCCTAGACACTGCTTTTCAGTTGAAAACAGACATCATCTTTAGAGACATTTGTCATGTTTAGAGGCCCTAGCACGCCATTTCTCGAGCCGCTCTTTCATTTGAGCCCAAAAAAACATTCATATCTTGTCTGACATCGCTGCTACAAACTCGGGCCTACAACTCGGGCCTTTAATTGAAGACCCGAGTTGTAGACCCGAGTTTGTAGCACAGATGTCAGACAAGATATGACTGTTTTTTTGGGCTCAAATGAAAGAGCGGATCGAGAAATGGCGTGCAGATGCCTTTAAAGATGGCTTTGAACCAGGGGAGACTCCTAGACTCCAATGTTCTATACATACTCCTAGACCGCATTGTCCTCCTAGACACTGCTTTTCAGTTGAAAACAGACATCATCTTTAGAGACATTTGTCATGTTTAGAGGCCCTAGCACGCCATTTCTCGAGCCGCTCTTTCATTTGAGCCCAAGAAAAACATTAATATCTTGTCTGACATCTCTGCTACAAACTGGGGTCTACAACTCTGGTTTTTAATTGAAAAATTGCTGGTTTTCAATTAAATAATGGCAAAGGAAGAAACCGATTTTCTCACGAAAATTCTGAAACGACTATTCCTCGAACGTCCAAGTTTTTCACCTTTATAGACCTCCGGAAAATTTAAAACGCTCCTAGAATAGTCAAATGCGTGTTCAAACTCAGGCGTATGCTGTATTCCCTGAAATAGGTGAAAGATAAACTCTCGAATGTGATATCCGCACAGCCAATACCCGACAGTGTACCATTACAAAGGGCTGATAGCTTTGTGAATTCAATCAGATTGAATCAAACATTCCCGTGATTTTATTCTGAGTAGATTTGAGGATACAGGTCGGGTGGAGTGGATCGACGGTCGGGTGAAAGCTGAATGAAAAAGCCACAAGTCCATTTAAGAAATTGCATTGAGTATAAAATAGAAATATCAAAGGCATGAGTCAATTTACTTAAATCGCTGAACGATTGGTGCAGTGAAGGGAAAAGGAAACAAATAAATTTTCGAATAAATAAATTCGCTTTCGCAATGAGACAATATTTTTCGAATTTCCTTGAATTCTACGTAAAACTTTAAATTTTATCACCATTTTCCCCCTAAATCGGATTCAATGTCACTTTCATGTGAATTACTACCAGATTTGCCATGAAATTTCCAAAAAATTTTGACGGTGTGGTCGAAACATAAATATTCAGATCGATGGTTGGAAAAACAATTCAGTTGGAAATATCGCATTCTCAGACGATTTTTTCTCGAGAAATCAGTTGACGAATTTCGTTTCTTCTCTCAATATTGATGCAATTAGAATGGCATTCGGACTCTTTACATGCAAATCCCCGATGAGGACACAGTCGCTTCAACAACTTCCCACCCCCCTCTCCCCACATCTTATATACATTGTCTGTGTGAGGGTCTGTTGGTTTAGTCGGGTTTAATTTAGTTTAGTCAATAGTTTCGAAGCCGTTATTGTATTTTGGTGGCTAGTAACCTGACGGTTGGTAATGGTCCAACTACCTACTCAAACCCCCTTAAAACTCAACGCACAACTAGGCCCCACCACATCTCACCAATTGTACATTTCTCTCTCCCGCTCTCGTGCGCTCTTCTGCATTACCCTCCCTCCTCCCACCTGCAATTTGCATAGACGGGTGCCACGTAAATACGATTCTCCAAAAGTCCATTGCACCCCCGCCCACTCACCCCAAAACATCAAAGGGATAGCTCGTCTAAAACCCCGACGCAAATTAACCGGCAAGAGCAGTGGATGCTGTCCCACTCGCTCTGTTTGCTGGCACATCTCAACCTCACCCTGTCTGCACATCTACCGGAGCCTCGATCCACCCACTTTCTAGGGGGTAACGTAAACTCCAACAGAATCCCGATGTATCGAATTCACGCGCCACCTGAGCCAAACACAAACGATCCTGGTAAAACTTTTAATCACAGCTATAAAAGCTCGAACGATAAAAGCACTTTGGGGAAATTATTTATTGGGAGGTTTTTAACGATGCTGAAGTCTTGTTTATGATTTTTTTTTCTAGGGGTAATTACAATGGATTGTTTGTAAGTCATGGTGAGGAGGAAGTTTGTAATGATTTGTGGAGTGAAGAGGATTTTAGTAGACTTTTTAAATGAATGTTTGCAATTTCTTGTTTTAATGGGGCAGAAGAGTTTTGGATTAGTTCTAGTGGAAGGTTGATGAATTATCCACTTCGTTATTTCTTAAGTATTTATTCAGAGCGAATTCAATTTTTCTCGATTACTTATTCTCTTCAGATATTTACTGGAGAATTTCCTCGGCTCAAATTTTCTAATTTTTTTCATTCTATTTTTCTTTTCTTCTCATCAAGAAAATCAAACAAAAAAACTTAGACAATTTGAGCCGAGGAAATTCTATGGAAAATATCTCAATAAAATAAGTTGTATAGAAAAATCGAATTCTTTTCACTTTTTTAAATGAATGTTTGCAGGTTCTTATTTTAATGGGGCGGAAGAGTTGTGGATTAACTTCAATGAAGGGTTGATGAAGTATTCACTTGGTTAGTATTGAATTCATTGAAAGTATATTTTTGAGGTATTCATTGTATGAAAAGTTTGTAATTATTCATGAACAGGAATTTAATAAAACTTCCTTTATATCGAATGTTCACAACTTCTTGTCTCAAAAATGCAGAAAAATTTGGGTTTTATTTTATGAAAATTAATGAATAATACTTTGCTATGCACTGGAGAATTATTTATTGGGGCGTTTCTAACAGGACTAAAGTGTCTTGTTTATGAGTTTTTTTCTAGGGGTAATTATAATGAATTCTGAGTTCGTCAGGTTCACGGAGGACGTTTGTAATGATTCGCGGAATGAAGAGAATTTCATTCGACTTTTTCAAATGAATGTGCAACTTCTTGTTTTAATGAAGCGGAAGAGTTTTGGATTAGTTTTAATGAAAGGTTGATGAATTATTCACTTCCTCATTGTTAAATTGATTGTAATTACATTTTTGAAGTATTTATCGTATGAAAAATTTGTAATAAGTCATGAAGAGGAAAAGGAATTTAATAAGCTGTTGAGTTCAATTTTAGGATAATTAATGAGTAATAATTTGCTACGATTTAATTAATATTCCACTACTGCGGAGCTGAAATGCCGTGTTTTTAAGGATTTTTTTTCTAGAGGCAATTACACTAGATTGCGAGTTTGTAAGGCTCAAGGAAGAACTTTGTAATAATTTGCGAAATGAAGGCAATTTCATTAAACTTTTTCAAATGAATGTTTGCAACTGTCCGTTTTAATGGAGCCGAAGAGTTTTTGCTTAGCTTCAATCGAGGGTTGATGAATTATCCATTTCATTATTGTTTAATTACTTGTGATTATATTTTCAAGGTTTTTATTGTAGATAAACTTTGCAATGATTCAGGAAAAGGAAGAGGAATTCAATTAAATTTCCTTCATACCGAATGTTCACAACTTCTTGTTTCAACGATGTAGAAAAGATGGAGTTGAAGTTCACGGAAATTAATATAGTTTATACATTATAAATATAATGTATAATAGCATCTTCATTAATTGTACTGGATAATCACCTATTCTCCATCGAATGTCCACGACTGTTCCTCTTGATAACGCAGAAAGGGTCTGAATAAAAATCAACATAGCAACTATAGTCAAGATTTTTAATTTTCTCATTATGCAATCAATTTCCAACTATTTCAAATGCCCTTCAGAATTGCTCTAAAATTTCACTTCAACATTTACGTATTTTAATCCAGAATATACTCGTAATATAAAAAAAATATTATGACAGAATATTTCACACACGATAATTGTACAATAAAATACAGAATGAATTTTATAAACTATGAATTGTGGAGTACTTTGTTGAAAGCATTGTACGACGTCTCCAGATCGAACAGCAGTTGACGCACTTGGGTTTCGGACAATTCATCAGATGCCGACATGCTATTTAAAGTTTGCAGCCAGTCTGATACCCTCGTTTTACCATCGAAATCACTCGGTAGGATGCTGAGACGATTCATGGTGTCGAGGAGATCACGGAGATCGGGGTGAAGCTCGTCCATTGCTTTTATGTCCAGACGGAGTTTGTCCATGAGTGTGATGAATAGAGAAACGATATCGGCGATGCATTTCGATGTGTTTCCTTTGTCATCTTTTATTGTTATTGGCCTGTCCTCTTTGATTCTCTCCAGGGCTGCTGGACAATCCAGGCGAAATGCTCTTGCAAATGCGTCGATTGTGGGAAATTGATCACTCTGGACCTGTTGATGAATTAAAAATGGAGATCAATTTTTTAATGATTAATTCAACTTTGCATTGAATGAAAAATATTTCAAATCATTAGATGTTAAATTAAACATAATGATAATGAAAAATTATAATTAATTGATTTTTTTTTTTGGAAATATATTAATTGTTATGGAAAAAATCCACAGCTGTTCATAAAAAATTGAAAATGGGGATGAAGTGAATCAATACAAAACCCAATTTAACCCAATTGGGTTAATATTAAACCCAATTTCATTGTATTTCAATTTATTTTGACATAAATTAAACACAATAATAATAATAAATTGTAATGAATGAAGACAATCTTGGAAATAATATCTAAATTTCCATGTATTGTCATTCTTTGTCTTCAACAAAAATTATTGAAAATGTTTTCTATCATTTTGTTGGTGTGTTTTATGTTTCTGATTATTTTCTAGTGAATAAAAGATGGAACAATTATTGTTGGGGTTTGAATTTCAGGCTTAATTACCTGTTTGAAAGCAGCACGATATTGAACCAGCAATTTGCTGCATGCAGCTGTGTATTCCTTGGGTGTAACACAGTCCCTTATGTAAGCCTTCTCCAAATGCTGAAGGGTGTTTACAACTGCATACAAATCAGCTTGATTATCGTGCTTCTCCCTTTCCCTGGCATTTTTGTAGAGTTTCACTTCTTCGTACAACTCTGGACGCTCTTGAGCGATTGACATTGTGTCTGGAGGCTGAAAAAGGGTTTGAAACATTGATCGACAGGTTTTTTGACTATTTACGAGAGAATGCACTTCGATAGTGGACTGGGAGGGACAAAGGGTTGGAGGTTAGCTTTGATTTTTCATGAAAAAAAAGGAGTGAGGGATTATTGTGGGGGGATTATCGTGAATTTCACTTGAGAACTTACTGGTGAGAGTGATGATCAGGGCAGATGACTAATTTCTTCGATTTTTTTAGGATATTTCATAAACTGTCGTGGGCAGATCAACAATTCACTTTTACCTGTGACTCAGAACTGACATTAGAGATCAGCTGATGGCGTCAGGCGGCAGAGGTCTGTGTTATCTACAGATGGGGGAGAAGATTGCACTTGACATTCAAAACGATTGAATGGAAAATAGTGAACAATACATCGATGTAAACAAGAGTGAAGCCATTTGTTAATGGGTTAGAACGTAGTTTCATTCTTCGTTAGATATCAGTATTTTTCCTCCCACATGGCGTGTTTAGAGATTAGCAATGGTAAATAACGCTCTCAGGAATTAATTGGCCTCATCTGTTGGAGAATGAATAGAACAGAAGTGCTTTGTTGAAATATAAAATTTATTTTCTGTTATGAGAATATTCTTATTTAACAAATTATAATAATGATAAATATGATGAATTATTGCAGAGAGTGATTCGTAGAATTTGGCTTTTCTTGGTTGAATATGATTAAAAATTGTTCTATTTGAGATTATAATTATAATTTTGATAATTACATTATAGGTCAGGATTATTTTTCGTCAGCAACTTCATTAACACTTATTTTCTCTGACAATTTGAAATTTTTCACGATTATTGGGACCTAATCCTAATTATTTCATTAATACAATTTAAAAAACTAAAAATATGAAGAGATTTCACTCAGAAAAACAACAATTGTTCGCCAATTTCTGACTAAAGAAATGTTTGAAACATAAACAAAGTATTTCATCAAGATGTAAAATTTATTTTCTCTGTAACGAGAATATCAATGTAACAATTATACAATAATAAATTATTTAAAACAGTAATCCATCGGATTTGGCTTTGAAGCAATTCAATTCATGATTAACAACAATTTTTTTTTTCACTTTGCCATTGGAATCTAATCCTTTACAACTGATGAGAAAGGCTAAAAATGAAAATATTTTACTTGGTTCTGGACAGAAAGAACTTAGTGCCTCCTCAAGATATAAAATTTATTTTCTCTACAACGAGAATATCAATGCAACAATTACTCAATAATAAATAAATTATTTAAGAAAGTAATCCATAGGATTGGGCTTTGAATTAGTGAACTTTATAGAACAGGAATTGACTAATTTCCCAGCCCTCAGACAAGGGCAATCGAATTCCTGGGTAACCACTTCACCAGCTGATTGTTCTCCATCAACTTGGGATTCGTCACTCTCATCGAGGATTAGTTTAAAGTGCAGAACACTCAGAATTAGCTTGTCAGCATCGATTACCTCCCAAGGTGGATAAAACTTTAAAGCACTCTTTTCCTTAACATTGAATTGCCCCACAATTTCTGGCATTGTTAAAACAGTTAGAGTCCTTCCCAGTGATTCATCAGATGCACTTGCAGCACTCAAATCAGATGAATTACTCGAAATGGTTCTTCCCAGAAGATTTAACGAATCTCTTGTGACTGTTCCGCGGAAATAAGGCCTTCCATAAGAAGTGGAGAATTTTTTTATTCTCATTATCACACACTGATTGCAAGTACCCTTGAAACGTGACTGGGCCATTTGGTGATGCCACATACGTAGGCATGATATTTTTCCATTCATTAATGTCTGGAATCTCTCGAGAAGTGATCCTCTGGAATAAAAAAAATATTATGAGACGGTAAATTAAATTTTGGGTCATTTAGAATTGACTTTGGGTCATTTAGAATTGAAAATTATATTCAACATTCTGTGGAAAAATCAATGGATACTGTCAATTTCAGATCAATTATTCCATGAAAATTAAAATAAATCGGGAAAATTCTGGTAAATATTTTCTTAAATTTTCAAATATTGAAAATGGAATTAAATTTAATTTTCAGTGAAATCTGAAATTTTATAATTTGTGCCTTCTAAAACAAAAATATTTTTCTTGAAATTGTCAATCAAATTTCAATGGATTAAGGCTCATTTTAAAGTCTTAAAAAAAACCTTCAGAATGAAAAAGAGGCATTCAAAGTCATTCAATTTTTTTAGTTAGTGATGTTCCAAACCAATTCATTTTAATTTGCCCTTCCCAAACATTAAAAACTAAAGAATCCAAACAAAGCTCCAGTACTAACTTTTTAGGTTTCTTCTTCTTTTTCACAGTCCTATGGTCGATAACTGGATAGACCTCAGGATCATTCCTCCTCGAGGAAGGCGAAGCCTCAGCACTAGTTGAATTATCACTAATAGTGAGATTAGACCTGACATTAGACACTTGATTGCTCAAAGCCTCAGATATTTCCTGAGACACCGACTCCTCGATGACGTCTCTCTTCACTGGATCCCCATCCTCATAATACGTCGCATCGGAGTCCTCTGACTCGATCCCGTCAGCCTCCGCGAGTCCCTTCACATTATTGTTATTGACCTGCGAAAATTCCCCAGGATCTTCTATCAGAGTCTGCAGGGTTTTGTCGCAGTCATCATCCTCAGCAGTGTCAATACTCAGGGAGTCCCGAGGAGAGTCCTCCCCAGGACTCAGAATTTCCTCCAGAGTGTTTCCATCACTGGACCGACACTCTATGGCGTCTTCTGAGCTCCTCGAAGAGCCCACCGACCAAACCTCGAGGATTTTCGGGACCTCCGAGGCTTGCGATGGGGACGAGAAGTCAATTTCAATGTTTTTGGGGGGAGGACTGTCACACTGGGAGATCAACCGCTCCAGTGGAGGCTCCTCCAGGGGTACATAACTACTTTCTCTCACCCTCCAAGGGATTTTCTCACGAATTTCACTCTCCTGAATTTTTTTTTCAACTTTTTCCCCGAAAATAACAGCTCTACCAGCTGCCAGCTTCGACCTGGGGGACAGGGAAGTCGCGTCGATGCTCTCGTGAGTCTTCGCGGGAGACGACACCCCCGAGATTTTCTCGGAGGTTCTGGGGCTGTCGGAGCCCTCGAAATTCTCCTTCAGGAGTCGGGAGTCTCGACGACTGGGCGAGGTTAATTGTCTCGGGGGGATTTTTGGGGAATTGGGGGGCTCGTCACACACCCTGACACGTTTTACTTCGTTTAATTGTCGGAGGGGTGACCTTGGGGGTCTCTTCAACCCCGGGGGACTGTCACTGATGACTGAAATGGACGACGAGTTCAGGGTGCTGTCGGTCCTCCCAATTTCGGCTGTCATCAGCCATTTCGTGATGAAATCAGTCTTTGGGGGGGTTGAGATGGGACTCTTGGAGGGTCCGGGGGCCGTGGGGATGTCCCGCGATTTGTGAAAAGAGGAAATACCTGGTCGATCGTGGGGAGACAGTCCGGTGTTTATTTTTCTGACAGGAGGGAGGTCCGCGGGAGAGTCCTCTGGGGTCATCTCTTGGGCTCCAGGCGCGATTTTTGGAGACACTGACACTTTTCGAACCTTCATTATTGTTTATTCACTTGATCACTTGATTTTGTGGTGATAATTACGCTTTTGGGGCGCTTTTTGCACTGGGAGCACTGGGGGAGAGGGAACACATGGGTTGGATGACGCCATTTTGGATTGGGGGTTCCTATAACGACCGATGTGCGCCCCGCAGGGACGTCGCGTACGAAAATTTCGTAGAAAGACCTGCGAATTCGCTGGAGAATTCTATTTTATTTCTATTGAACTTTCGAATAGTTCAGGGATCAGCGAAAATTGTTACTAAGTTATTTTGAAAGGAGTTTACCATTTATTAATCACAGTTCCTTCCTTTTTTACTTAAATTTGAAAATCATTTTTAATTGTCAATTATAATTGAACAATTCTGAATATCTGATAACAATATTTGCAAAATTAAAAAATTTGATTTATGACTAATTTAGTTATAAATTTAGTCATAAATCAAATTGTTGAAAAATTGAAAATGTTATATTTTCCGGAATATTGATGGAGAATAATAACTAACAGTTTGATTTATAGAAATGAGTTATGAAAAAGATGTCTGAATTCTCCGAGATTTTTCCGTGGAAATTATGCAAGAATTGTGTTGAATGTCAAGGTACACCAAGACCTGAATTCTAATAAAGAATAATATATGACAATTTCATTCATGAAAATGTGTAAATATTCTTTCCAAACATTCCTACATAAAAACCATCATTTCGTAATAAAAGCACCTCCGTGCAAATTGAATGAGACAGCGAATAAAAAAGAATTAATAACAATCAATAAAAATTTCGTTCATCCTCATAAAAGATATAGAAATAAATTTTATTCAAATTCTCATTGGATTATTGAATTTGCACCTGATGTATTACATCCATTGAGAGAGGAAGAGCAAAACGAATGAAACTATTTAAAAAAATAGATTTCAAGACAATAAATAAGATCTCATTGGTGAGAAAAATAAAAGACAACAATCTGATCGCTGAAGACGCTGAGAACAACAAATTTCGACTAGTGTATGAAACACTCCAAGATTAAAAAAAAATTACTTAAAGTCGCATCAACAACGAGATTCTCAACGACTTCAATAAAAAATTTGGAACATTTCGTTCACATTTGGTTTTGGTTAATTATTCATTATACTAGATGGCATATTTTAATTAGTTTGAGTAGTTTCAATATTTTTTCAACATTTTTTTCCTCATCGAGTACTTTTTCTAGTTCGCATCCTTTGGACAGTTCGTTAGGATATGTTTCACTGTCACGCTCCAAGATTTGTCGAAATCGCAGGTGGGTGAGGGTTCTCCCGGCGAAGATACATCACTGTATCGAATTTAAAGAGAGGCGGTTCGCCGACAACTGTTGTCTACTGAGAATTTCCACCCGAACAGTTCAGAAATCCATAAAAATTCTTGAATCTTGCTTCAAAATATTTTCACAACTAATGAAACAACGTTATCGCTTAATAAAAACCGCTCCTATAAAAGAACGAAGGAAACTGTCAAACAAAGAGCTAATCTCAATGTTGTTTGACAAGTATGATAAGAACTTCTATAGAGCTCGATTTTTTAATTTACACAACTGATTCTATTGAGATATTTTCTGCAGAAATTCTTCGCCTCAAATTTCCCAAGTTTTTTTGTTCGATTTTTTAAATATGGAGAAAGGAAAAATAAACTGCAGAAAACTCAGACAATTCTTGCAGAACAAATCCTACTGAAAACAGAATACCAATAGAAAGTTTAGAATCTCGAGAAGTATTTTTTTTTATAAAATACTTTTTGCTGTCCATTTTCTAGAAAATGCAGAATTCTTCACTAAACTACCAAAAACTAATAGAATTTTCAATAAAAGTTCAATCGAAACCCAATAAATTTTTTTCTAGAATTCGCATTCGAAATCATTTACTTAAATTGTATTCTATTTTTATTAAATTTTCGTGCGCGTTTTTTTTTTCAATAAAAATGTTCATGAAACAATATGCTACAGAAAAAAGTCAATAGAATTCCATTTTTCTATACACTTTATTCTATTAAGATATTTTCCAGCGAAATTCTTCGGCTCAATTTTCCCAAGTTTTTCTGTTCAATTTTTCCAATGAAAACAGAACAAAAATAGACTGAAAAAGGCTTGGAAAATTTACGTCGACAAATTTTCATGGAAAATATTTCCAATAGAAAAACTATTCCTACAAAAAAACGTGCAGTAAAACTCAAAATTCGTCAATATGATGGGCCTAAAACTAATAGAATGTTCAATCGAAGTTCACCAGAACTCCAATATAATTTTTCCTAGAATTCGTTCGTATTTTCAACGAAATGTCTTCGTGCTTGGGCCCAACGACGAATAAAAAATAATAAATAACAATTTGATTCATGAAAATTAATCGGCAAACTTGAACCGCGAACAAATTACGGGTTACCGAGTGTTGGAGGAACCCCTTTTATATTAATAGTCGAGTGACTGAGTGGATGAGAGTTACCTCGTGAGGGCACAGCAGGGACGAGGAGAGAGGCCGGGGGGAGCGGGAGAGGAGAGGGCTAACGCGAGGAGATGGAAATTGTGTTGGAAGTGGATATGTTTTTGTATACGTGTATTGGTGTTTGGGTAATGGGAGGTGGAGTTTGAAGCCACTGGTGACTTTACCAGTGAGTGAGAGAAAAAATGACAAAAAACAAAGAAGAAGATGTGAAATATTGTGTATATGGAGGAGGTAGGGAGGCCTCAAAATGATAGATAGGAGGATGGGATAGGAGATGACCGGGCCCCTCTGCACGTTGTTTCAGTTTGAGTTCGCGATGGAAACTACATGCTACGTCTAGAGTTCATAGTTTACCGATGATTGTAGATTTTAGAATAATTAAACATCTGTTTTAACGACATTCAACATCAAATAATTGAAGCACTTAATTAATCTTAATAGAAAAATAGTTGTGAGATAAAATAATTGGATTTAATCGATTGTCATTTGGGCTGAGGTTTTAGTTTAGTTCTGATGATTATTTCAAAGAATTATTATGGAAAATTGTTTCTCGCCTTCGCTCGAGGGGGATAATATAATATTTTGAAGTTTTATTCAACGTCGGTACACGTACACCCGAGGGGGACCGGATGTCGGACGGTGCAGTGATTCGATTGATTCGTTCAAGAGTGTCCGTGGCTACTACCGAACTTCCGAGTGCCGCTCTACGTACCCGCGCGTTTACCGCTCGTGAGCGCGCACGCTCAATTGGAATGCAGTTAATCCCTTGTGGAATGATTTCCAAGGGAGGAGAGTAAATATATTCTTGTGTTGTTGTTGAAAAGGTGATTAATCGAGGGGTGGAGAGATACGGGATCTCAAGAGTTGAAAATTTATTCGTCGCTCTGGTAAAATTCATTTTTTTACTTTATCATCATTATTTTTAAGCATTGAGACAATGAATTCAAGTGAAAACTGCGGAATCTGGAGTTTATTTGAAGGCAATTGATGCCTTCAAATTAATTCAACGTCGGTTTCGAGGGATAAAAGGATATCAATTGTTCTATTGCTGTTATTCTTATGTTATTCTCTTTTACTTTTGACAATTGATTCATCGAATCCGTTTGAAAATTACGGGACCTCGAGTTTTTGAGTGATTAATCGAGAGGTGAAGAGACACGAGAGATCTCAAGAATTAAAAAATTTATTCATCATTTTGGTGAAATTCATTGCATGTTATACTTTTTCATTTTTAATAATTAAAACAACGAATTTGAATTCAAAATGACTGAATCGTGAGTGAATTCAAACGCTATTGCTCATTTTTTATATTATTCTCTTTTACTTTCAAAAATTGATTAATCGAATCCATCTGAAAACGGCGGGATCTCAAGTTTTTAAGAGATAGACAGGGGACGGACTCATTCACGTAAATTGGTGCCTCGAGTTGGTAAATAAACATCGTACGGTAGGAAATGAAGACTCATGCGCTTGGGGTGGTGTACGCTAATCATCCGCGTTCATTTATCCATAATACACCTGTCATTACATTGTTTGCGCTGTGACGTCACACAACGAATTGTAAAGTTAAACCGAAATGGTAGCGTACGACGTACTGACGGCATCGGGGTTTAGTGTTACACGTATCACATGTAATGTTGATGGTATTTTGACGTAGATAAACACACTCGAGACGATGGCAATCTTCAGCAACGAAAACATTGGGAAGATTATTCAATAGCGGATGAACGCGGCGGAGATATCTATTAATAGATTTGGAGTTTTTCAGTAATCAAATTTGTCTATTGGATAACGTGAAGGAATGCTGAAAAACGATAATTTTTTTGCGGCATTCTTTTTTATGAATGATTAATACGAATTGCTTAAACTTCCGGAAATCTTTTTTTACGATCTAAAATCGTGTTCTGGTAGAGTTACGAACTATTCTTTTATGATTTGAAGAAATTATTTTAGAGTGGAGAATTGATTGTTTACTAATGATTTGTGGAAAAGGAATCTTAAAAAATTACAATTTCTCGGTTATTTCAGAAATGAATGGATGAATTCTTTTGGTTTTCCGCCGATTTTATTGAGTCATTTTCAGTGAAAATTTTTTATCATAAATTAGTCAATTCTGTTCACTGCATTTTCATGTTTTCTCATCACAAAAATTGAATAAAAATACTAGAAAAATTGAAAGCGAGAATTTTCGAGGAATTGCCACAGAAAAGTGACTAAAATACTTTGAGAACAAATCCCTTCGCACAATTTGTGTTTTTATCTGCAAATTATTTTTAGGGGGGAAAATTAATTGTTTATAAATTATTCATGAAAAAAGTTGCACTATTTCAATTATCGGACTGAATTTTCTCATTTTATTCTTCTGCTACGAATTTTATTGAATTTCTTCCCAATTTGATTCATTTTTCCGCTGATTCTATTTCAGTGAAAATTCTTTCCCATAAATTCTTCAATTTTTTTCACTGCATTTTTGTCTTCTCTCATCGCAAAAATTGAATAGAAACACTAGAAAAATCGAATGTGAGAAATTTTCGGGGAATTTCAACAAAAAAATTACCAAAGTACGCATTTCAATTAAGGGATATTCTTCAAATCTCCCTTTATCGAATTGTGTGGAAGGGTTTCCTCAATTCTGGAACCCCTTCCAAACAATTCATATCTTTATTCTTAGCACATCGACACGTGGTGACCCCTTTCCCGTCCCATCAGTTTCCCTTGAATGACAAAGATAAATAAAAGAGACAAGACGTTTGAATTATTGGATGACACGGGTCATGGGTCTGCATTTGTCGCTCGACGTTACTATTCCAACGTATCATCTCTCGTGTGCACATCATTTTTTCTTTATTTTTCCAGTTTCGCAACTGTTCACACGCTAGTCACACGATATATAAAATCCACACGTTGTCGAGTTTATTATACACATAATGATAGAATGGGTGGGCGCAATGACGTAGATGTGGGGGAGAACAAGTAGCGCAGACCGATCCAACCGAGAATGAGAAGAAGCATTGTGGACATCCGAGCGAATAAGATCGATACATTTTCCGTGATGAATCGTGGAATTTTTTTAATCAGTTTCGTCTTATCGGGAAATCGACAGTCGCGCGCTTTCAAGGGTTCTAAGTAGTCTCGGCGCTTGTCAGCTGAATGACTCCACTCATGATGGTTAATTAGTAATTAATCAGACGAGGACCAGATCATTGGGAAATCAACTTCGATTTTTTAAATGTTTTAATCTTGCTGAAGCAAACTGTCTTCAATCCTCGATATCTCCTGACCAAACGATGCGATTGGGACGAGTGACGACTCATTTTGAAGCTTGAAAAAATACCTTGAAAATGAGAAAAAAAAGTCGGGAAATTCGACTCTACGGTTGTCGAGTTATGGAAGACTAAAATCGGTCGGTTTTACCTCACTCTTTCCTTTGCAGTCGCAGTCTGGGACATGTGTCGCAGAATCGTCTACCGTGATACGGGGACCGCCCCGTTGACGTAAATCCCGAGTATGTTATGCACGAGAAATCAGAGCATGTCTTTCTCATTGTCCCGCATTTTTCTAATCGTTTAGGCGTCTTACGCACTGATAATAACCGAGCTATTTAAATTCTGGGTGATATCGGGCCGGGATTCTTCCACGTTCCGTGAAATCATTCTCAATGTTGTGACGTTCAATTTAACGTGGTACACTACTACTGACTGTTATGTGGGGGAAGACGAGGGTTGAGTAACGGCGTGTAGGAGAGTGAGCGCGTCACACACGGGAGATTACAGCTTCTTTGATCGTCACACCAGAAGAGCCTTCGGTATTCAGTCGACCGACCGGAAAAGCATTCTCTCGTGTGAACCTTGAGGAAACCCAAATTTATCAACTCCGTTGGAATTTTTTTACCACGTTTTTCCTAACACGTGAACGAAAATAATTCATGAAGTTGATAATGGGTTATCAAATATTACACATGGAGTAGTATGTTACGATACAAATGAAAAAAAGGTGTTGACGACTGTGAGGTAATCACAATCGACAGGAAGTACATTTTTTTCACATTTATGGTACGGTATTCAGTATTTTACGATACTGGGGAGGAAAAGGCGATTCTTTGCGCGCGAAGCCTGCAACGAAGCGTCCCTTTTTCACTTGATCATAAAATTTATTTCTAATCTCTCGGAATAAATAATAGCGATTAATAAAGCGATTTCTGAAAGTAATTATTCCCAGTCAGCAACGAAGTTAAATTCAACGAGTTGAATTTCCTAGTGTCACTGAAAATCCATTCATCAGCTGGGATTTGAACTATTTTCCATTCTCAATTGAAAATTTCTTAAACTTGTGAAAAATGACGTTCATCAGTCCATGAAAAAATGCCGAGAAATGAATGAATGAATTTTTTCTGCTTATTTTATTACGTTTTATATAAAATAGTGCCTCTTGAACATTTTCTATAAAGAAAGGCGCAGTCCTCTGCGCATGTCTACAATTGAATCGGCCAAGAATTAATTGAATTTTATCGAATTTAATAAAGTTTTAATAAAAGTTTAATTTAAAATTTCATGAAAATACAATAGAAATCTATTAGAATTTTCCCCAGAATCTGCTAGGTTTTCCTAACAATTTTTTTCGTGCGTGCACCTCTAAAAAACTGCCCCCACTGCACACGAGACCGTCAGTATTCCATTTAATGTCACTGGATGCTTTCCGTATTTGTAATGAGGGTCAAATAATTTAATTTTCCAGCAAGATTTTTTTGACCGTTCATGTATTTCATGATTTTCTGATATTGTAACTTATGGCCTGGGGACAATTTAGACTTTGAGAGATTTCTTTATGTCATTCATTAATTAATATTAAAATCGCTGAGGATCGCTGAGACCATAAGTTACAACATCGAAAAATCATGAGATAATTTAATTTTTTTTATAATTCGTCAAACAACGCACCAAGTAAATAGCTAATACTCCTTTTACCATTTGCAATTGACACTCCCCCAACTGAATGTGACAAATAAATTGATATTTGAAAAATATAAAATCTGCGCCGTGTGTCAGTTTCTGAAAAATTCACGTTCATGGGCTACTTTTTGATGGAATAAATGGTAAATTTTACAGTTTCATCACAAATGCCCCAATTTAGTAAACGATCTGGAAGCACCGGAGAATTCACTATTCATCTCGCACCTAGAAATGGATTCCGCTCCACGATTACTAGACTTGTTCGTTAAATTTCCGCGTCCTCTTCCCCCGGTAAATTTCCAATTCCATTAATTAAAAAATCCCCCAGGCTGGCAGGAACTTGGATACTGGCATTAACTGGGATATTGACGGTATGCGTTGAGAAAACTTGAAGCACGTCAGCGACAGTAACGACTATGTTTCAACGTCACCATCGATAAGTCGTCCGCGTGCGTATGTGATGCTTATGGCGGTGCTGGCTTGTTCATAAACTCGACACCGCATCGAACCTCAGTTGAGATCGTCCCGCGGTTCTGCTTCCGTGTTACAGGGCTAGACAGAAAGAGATAACAGAAATTTGTCCCATATTCCAGCGGCATCCTGGCGAGCACTGTCGGATGCACTGGGCCATCAGCAGGAATTGATCCTGCCTCAGGTTCATGAGCTTACACTTCTCACGATGATGGTGAAGGGCATGAGAGTGATGAGGGCAACATGTTACCTGGCAACACCAGGTAACAACGGCTGACATCTCCGTCATCAGCGAGGGGCAGACCGAGAGACGCGTAAACATGTGATTATGAAAATCCCCGAGTTAACAAACTTGATAATTCACGTGACATTATTAACGCGAATGAATAGTGAAGTATTTCTGATCCACTGGGACAAGGAAACAGGGTGAATTGTACGTAATTACCTAAACAAACATTTTTTTAAAATTAATTAAAACGTGTGAAACTGCCGGATATTCCCAAGTGTCAGTGAACGAAACACTCTGTCATCTGTGTTATTTAAATCACTCGTACAGTGATGTTATTGTCCGTAATTAATTAATCGTTGATTAATTCAATAATGCTGTTTCTGAAAGTGTTGAGACAATTTATGATGAACTAATCGTTGGTGCAGATTGTTGGATTAAATAAATAAGTGATTGGTGGGAGGTCAATAGTATTGGAGGTATTATTGGAGATAAATCAGTGTGTCGTGAATAAGGGGTGATAATGAATGGACGGACATGCCGTCTGACCTGGTGAACAAATCAGGCGAACAGTACGTCATTGACGTTGGTTTCAAACCGGGAGAATCTTGCACTCTCCCACTGGAACAATGAGCTCCATAGACTTTGATGAGGTGCTGGTACATGTGGGGGAGAAGGGAAGATATCAGAATATTATGTATTATCTGCTGTGCATACCAGCCACTCTGCCGGCAGCTTTTCTCGCCTTCTCGCAGGTAGAAAATCAGTTTCGAACTATTCGAGGCATTGCTCAGTAACAAAACAGGATTTTTAAGGGTTAAAATCATTCGGAAATATCAAACATTCACAAATTAATGTTATGGGGGGATGAGAAGAAAAATTAGCTGGGAGTTACCCTTAAAGAAAGTGAGATACATGTGAAATTACTGAGGATATCCAAGCAGCTTTTACAGTTTAGTCAATTGAATCGCGTGAGAAAATTATTTTAAAAATTCATGAATGTTCAACGTCATTCAAATTACATTTTACACAGAATTATTATTTTTTTTTAGCATTCGTTGTTTGTAGATAAATAATTTAAACTGTTAAAACTTTCGGAAACCCAATTTTTTTAGACGCGAAATAGATTTCTGGTAAAATTCTGATTATGAATGAATTTTTACAATTTCGAACAAATTTTTTTTATGATGGAAATTGATTGTTTATAAATTATTTATAAAAAACATTCGAAATTTTCAAAAATTGCAATTATTTAATGATTTCAGTAATTTTTCTCCAAACGTAAAAATTCGTTTTTTTTCAATATCGAGATTCAAATTCAGACTTGCAAGGTTTGGTTAATAAAATCATTATAAAATATCCGGAAACTTAGGGTCAAAGCTTTCGCTGGAAAAGGTTAACCAAAACACTTGGATATCCTTAAAGTACAATTTTTATTCACTTAACTCTATCGATCTTGAGTTATCGATGATTAAAAAAGTTTAAAATTAACAAATCAGCAGTAATTTCCAAGGAAATTGCTATAATTGAATAATTCCATAGAATTAATGAGATTAATTCATCTCATTATCTCCTAGGTATTCGTCAGCGCGTCACCCGAGCACTGGTGCAGAATACCAGAGCTAGAGAACGTAACGAATCTTCTGAGTCTCCAAGCGAGAAAAGAACTCTCTCTACCTTACGAATACAAGTCTGACGGTAGACGTCAGTTCTCTAGGTGCTACATGTACGATGTCAACTACACAGCCATCCTCGAGGACTGGCTGAGGCATGTGAATACGGAGGTTAATGCCACGGGTTCATTAACAACGAGTCTACCATCACCACCAGTGAGCGACACAGACTGGCCGAAAACCAAGTGTCTTCATGGGTGGATTTACGATAAGAGGGACTACGAGAGCACACTCGTTACCGAGGTAAACTCCCTCTAATTTTGCCACTATTTGGGGTTTTTTCGGGATGAAGATCGGGGTTGAAGAGGAAAATATTGTGACACAAGTCCAATTTCTATTTAATAATTCACGCTGAGAGATGAAAAAAAATTGTTTTCATCGCAGAGATAAATGTTGTTTCGAAGGATTGAATTATGAAGAAATTTGAAGAAAGACGCGCTTTTTTGGAGAATTTATCTAGAATTTCAAATTAAAATTCGAAAATTATGCAACTTTATTATTCTAATTTTTATGTTTCTGTTTTTCTCTTTGGGTTTTGCAATATGATTTTTTGGGTATTATTTTTTTATTTCAATGGTTTAGCTGCATCTGTATCTCTCTGAATAAACATCCTCAATAGAAAATACTTACAAACGAAATCCGTGTTTGTCTGTATAAATTCGTCAGCCCAAATTTTATAAGTTTATCCTTCAATTTCTAACCACAAGAATAAAAAAAAAGAAAAATTTCTGCCTAGAAATTTCTATAGAAAATATCTCAATACAATAAATTGTAGAAAAATCAAAATGTAGTAAATTTTGTGAATTGAAAATGTTTTCTAAAAAATTTTTGAATAAAACCAATAGAGTTTTTAGGGTTGAATTTCTATTGAAATATTCCGCAGCTCTCTGCGTATCGCTCTGAACAAAAATGCGCAATAGAAAATATTTACCTATGAAATTCATTTTTTTGGCCTTCAATTTTTCACTGAAAGAATAGAAAAATAAATAAAGGCTTTTAAAAAATGGAAAATTTATGCCTAGGAATTTCTATAACAAATACCTAAATAGACTGACTTTTCCAAACAATCAAAATGTCCTCAAATTTAATGAATTAAAAATATTCCCTAAAAACATCTGGATAACCGAATGAAATTATTAAAATTCTCCGTGCCTGTGGCTGTGGAACATTAGGATAAAAACATTGGGTTGATCACAATTCTAACCATTCTCGGGTCAATTACAAAGCCCATTAACCCCCATTTTTCAAGTCACACTCGAGCGGAAGTACTCTTCTCCAACTTAATTCCATGACATATCCGGGTTTCTCCGTCTTCCCTAATCCGTCTGTAATCCATTTCACTTGTGTTTCTTGAATGACCAACTCCGGAAAAAAACTAATGAGATGAGATATTTGGAGGCACGCGGGCGTATGACTGGCGTTGAAGAAGAAAACAACCCGAAAATTTGCATAATGCGCATAGGAACATTAACCAGCTCGGTCTAACGATGCTTAATCATTTAGATTGCATTACACTCACTGGAGTTAAACTCGTTGTACACACGCTCGTACAAGTTTTACTCCACGTGATTAAAATAATTCCAACAGTGTGGTTTTTCGCCTTGGCCTTTCACACGTTTTGTCTTGAGTTAGTGACAAGTGGCTGTCATTTTGCTGGATACATTCGTGGAAAATTTATTAATGAATGTTGAGAAATCAAGGGGAATTGGTGGAGTTGATGGATGAGTTGAGGAGTCTGCACGCGATGAGAATTATTTTTTTTTTTCATCAAAAGGACTGACGCTTCTCAGGTTTTGCCCATCACGAGGAGCGATTTTTCGCGAGATTAGGGGAGGCGTTAACGCATCATCAAGTTATCCATGGAAATTGATAAATGGAGTTTAACCCATTTCATTGAATTACTGGGCCGAACAGCGATGAAAAATTGGTGGGGATTTTTTTTTTTCTCCTCGATTCAAGTACAATCACCTTGAAATCTTCGGACTAGGGGGAGAGGGGGGGGAGGGGGAGGGGGAGTGGCCACGAAAGGTGCATCTGAGAGAGAGTGGACTAGTCGATATGGATTATGTGTTTTTTCTGCAGGAGGCCTCTAGTGGCGTCAGCAATTGCCGACCAATTTACCTACCCCCACATCCGGTCATGTGATATGTCACATCAAACACTCGAGCAATGCATGTGTGTACACGCACCTTGTTACATATACCTATATAGGATACTCGGGGTTACACTGGCTCGATTGTACCGAGTATTTACGTTACGTATACCGGGAACAGATTTAGACCTTCCGGTAACACTTTACTTCCGTTTCTTGGGATTTATCTGGCTTTTAGAAGGATTTTTTGGGGCTGATTGTTGGGGAATTCTGGAAAATTGATTTTTTTAGCGGATTTTCGGGTATTTTGGGCTTTTGATTTGTTTTAATTTTTGAAATGGTTGGTGAAGGTTCGAAGTGGAGAATCAAATTAGATCTTCGGAGTGGGAAGAATAAAATCGTTGTAAAGTGTTCGATAATAGAGCATATTTCTGATTTTCCAAGACACTCTTTTTATCTCCAATTTTTGGCTTAAGGGAATTCAAGTACTTTTCGAGTTTTCCAAAGACATTTTGGAAAAAAAAATTTTCACATTCTGTGGTTGAGAATGGAAAGAATGGAAAATTGTTTTTTTAGTTATAACTAAAAAGATGTTTTAATATTCGAACAATTGAAATTTTTTAATGATTTTATGAGTTTGCTTTTTTTTTAGTTTCAAAATGTTCGATAAAGGTTCAAATGAAAAATAAAATTTATATCTTCGAAGTTCGAAGAATAAAGTGGTTGTAAAATGTTCTGTTACCGAGAGTCAAGCGGAGCTTAAATAGAAATTCCGATGTTCAACTACAAATACTTCAACACTTTTCCTTTCTCCTCTAATTTATCAACTGAAATACCTCCCAAAAATTCAAAATAATTTTTTTCGAAAATACTTTTAGAGTCCATCCTCATTTAAGAATCATCGTAGATTTAATCACGATTGAAAACTGATTCATCATAAATTTTTGCATTAATCTTTCCAAAAAATCAACTTCCTCAATTTCCCCAACAAAAAAAATGCACAAAATCCTCGAACACACGGAGAGAAATTTTTTAGAAAAATTCTAGTACGAGTACTGGAAAAAATCATAATCCACCGGTTGTGAAAAATTCTAGTGCTGTTACGGTAAAATTTTTTGGTATTTCTGATCAAATTTCTGGGGATTTTTGTGAAATTTTCACAGAAATACGGAGAAAAATTCACGTTTTTCCCAATAAAATTTCTAGTGCTGGCAATGGAATTTTTTCTTGGCCGTCACCTTGCGCCTCTTTTCCCGTGCTAGTACTACAATTTTTCTAAAAAATTTCTCTCCGTGCATTCTCAAAAATAGAGTGAATAGATAACCCGTAATATGAAATTTACGTCGAAATGAAGATATAATCCGTTCAAGAGTGTTCACTGCAAGTAGTTACACCCAGTGCGTCAGAGAAGAGATTAGTGTAGAGGCATTATCTACTTATCGGATGGAGTTCTGCACGTTATGTTTCGCCTCAACGCTCCAACCTCCGACACTTGTGCACATCCCGCTTGTATTTTGGCACTTCTTGTTTCACTGTTACAACACCTAACCCCTCCCCCCCCTTGCCCCTCCATTTGGTGGGCATTGTTGGTCATGGTAGGCATTAAGTCGCCGTATTAGCGTAATACCACACACGAGTGAACTGTTCGCAACTGTCTGAACTGTTAAACTTCCCCTGTATCTCCGAGGATTTCAGTTTCTTTCTCAATGGGCATTACGCCAAAGACACACATTCGCAGAGAAGGCAAATGTACGTTCCACTGTTGTACATTATCCTTTCATGGATTATGGAGACGTCTTCGGCATTCTCGTTTACCCTCTGTCTCTATTGTCCCAGGGGAATGACTCGGCGGCCCAATGCCAAAAGGCATTTGGCTTCTTTCCCTTTGACGGAGCTCTATATTTTGGCTCATTTTCATTCATCCTGCCTTCAATATTCCTCACGGGTGGGAGGAGCTTCGTATGGAGAATAAGTTCTATTAAAAATTACCAATCGTGAAGTCACGTACGAGAACATTTCACAGAAATACCTAACGAATTCCATTGGAATTCGCTAGAAAATTCTATTGGACTTCTATTGAGCTTTTTAGTAGTTTTCGGTCGATTCTAGTTACAAATTCCGCAGGTTATTGAGGCGTTGTTTGTCAGTAGAAATGTTTAAGGGAAAATATTCTGTAGAAAAGAATCGGCGGAATCTGATTTTTCTGTACTACTTATTTTATTGTGATAGTTTCGAGAAATTTCTCGGTTCAAATTTTTTTCAAGTTTTTTTGTTTGATTTTGTTAATGAAAGGAGAAGAAAAATAGAGCAGAAAAACTTGGAAAATTCATGTTGAGGAATTCCGACAGAAAATATCGCAATAGAAAAAGTTGTATAGAAAGATGAAATTCTACTGATTTTTTCTATCAATAGTTCCTGTTGAATTCCGTATTGAAGCTTTTTGTGGAATTTTCACCTGAAATATTTTAATTCTTACTATAATGATTGCCTTTTTTGGTAAAAATTCCTGGAAAATCGTAACAAATGGAAATGAAATACGAAATAAATTATAATGCAGATTTATTTCAATCAACTTTTGTATCTCATTATTTTCAATTTTGGAAAGTGCAACAACAAAAAAAAATTAATGCTAAATCCCATCAAATACTCATCATTATTCATCATCAGCCCCTAATGCATTTTTGTAACTTCCATCTCGTCTCCTCACCCATCGTAAAAACATAAAAAACAATAAACCCAAAGAATTCATTTAGTTGCAAATTCCGCGCCCGTAAGTGCCACTTGCAGATAATTTCCATAATGCAAATCATGAAAAATAAATAAATAAGAGATGCGAAACGTAGTCGAGAGGCGATTTGTTAATTTGTTCTTTTCGATTTTTTTTCATACGTGACCTTAACTAGATGATAATAATTTCCAGGATTTCAAACTGTGCATTCGCTAGGGGGTGGAACGCACAATGAATAGAATTCGATTCTTTTAGGCAATTTATTCTAGTGAAGTATTTCCTATGAAAATTCCTCGGCTCAAATTTTCCAATATTTTTTGTTTAATTTTGGAAATGGAAAGAGGATAAAAATAGAGTGGAAAAAACTTATAAAATTCATGTCGAGAAAGTCCTATAGAAAATGTCTCTATAGAAAGATGGAAATCCCCTCATTTTCTCTGTAAAATAGTAACTATTGGTCATTTTCCATAAAATAAACGCGCCGTAGAATTGCGAAATTCCTCAATAGAATCAGCCGAACACTAATACAATTTTCAATAGCAGTTCAGCAGAAATCCAATGGAATTATCTGTGGAATTCGCAACGTTTTTCTGTGAAATTTTCTCCCACATGTTTATTTTATTCAAACGCGTCATTTGCCTGGGTGCAACCATTGCGAAAGAGTCGTCGAGCTTAAAGTTATACAGCTAGAAGGACGGGTAATGATGGGTTGAGGAGAGGGAAGAGGGTTTGGGCAAAGTCGAGGGGGTCTATGTTGGATTCTGGTGTTCACGCACAAGAGAGCCACGAGGCAACGCGGGGGACACGCTCCTCCTGTCAACGGAGGGTGATGGACACCTCGCCGCTGTGGGAGCCAACCAACACTGATACGAGCAATATTCCCGGACACATTGACACGCATCACACAAAGCGGTAGTAGCAATAAACTATCTGGCCGCGGATTTATTCTTTATGTCTGTTTATGCGCGATGGAATTGAAGGTTTGGGGGATTCGATGGAGATGATGCGATTTGGGATCGGTTCATGAAGTATTTTAGGATTCTTGGCTCGACGGTTTCGATTATCTGTCTTTGTTGGAGATGAGGATGATTGAAAAGGTATTGGAATTGCCGTTTGTGCGTGGCTTCATAGAGTGGCTTCGTGTCCACTAATAAAACTCGGTTCCTGTTCAACGCACATGAGTCAATCAGAGCGAAATTCCGAGCGATGATGATGGAGAATTTGGCATTTCATTGTTAGAAATTTATAGAAATTTAAGTGACAGCGGCAAAACCATTTTTTTATGTTGCAAAATTTAATTCTGTTTGAGATCGATTTGTTTATGGGACGTCCACTGAAATTTCAGAAAATTTCATTTCTGAAAGCTCACAATTTTCAATGATGAAAAAATCAATGAAAACTGTAAATTTCCATAATTTTTCATAATTTGAATAAAAAAATCAATGGAAACTCAATGAAAACGGTAAATTTCATTTCCCTTATCCCATGATAATTAGTAGAAATCACGAGAATTCACGTAAACATATTCTTGGATCTTCAATCAACTGAAAACTCAGCGTAATTGAATACTAAATATTCATATTTCCATTGGTAATTCAACTAAATTCAGGAATTCTCGTCAAATAAATTTGGAATTCCACTGAATTTTCAGTGAAATTTTGAATTTCTGGATTGTTTCCCCCCTAATCCCAATTGAATTACGCTTTCCTAAAAATTAATACTGAACTATCGTTCTCAAAAATCTCTGCATGAATTTATATCAATTACATTAGATCACGTGAAGAACAGTTATAAAAAAATAACTAAAATTGTATTGCTTCTCATTAAATATTTTTCTATTGGACGAATTCATAATATTTTCCCGAAAATCGTCTATAGAATTTATCTCTGTGTTAATTCTATTGATGATTATTAAATATCTTAATGGAATTTTTCCATCCACGTAGCTAGACCTCGTATGCGACAACAGTTGGTTGCCATCCACATCGACAACATTTTTCTACGTAGGAAGTCTATTCGGTAACATAATTTTCGGATGGATTGCCGACAAGTGGGGACGACGAACGGCATTCTTCTCAATTCTCTTCTTGGAGGTGATATTCGCAATAGCAACGAGCTTCAGTCCAAATTATACCGTGTACACAGCCCTAAGGACCATCAATGGCCTATTCTTCCCCGCCATTTATCAAATTCCATTCATACTAGGTGAATAAACACTTCCCCCGACATTTTCCTCAATTTTACGGACATTTTCTAACAATATTTCAATTTTTAGCACTTGAATTAATGGGTCCTAGGTACAGAACATTCGCTGGAATGGGAATAAGCATGTTCTTTGCCACCGCCATGTGTCTGCTCGCACTCCTAGTAAGTACCAATAATTTTCCATTCGTCTCGTTTATTTTCTACGCAACAAAATTATGTTATTTGGTCATTAGTAATCAGCAGGTATCATCGCAAACAGTTAATTACGCAATTTATATGTTTCGAGGGGCCTTTGTTGACGACTATTGCGTTTTTTATACTGTTTTCACGTGAATTTCCCATTCTAATGATTAGCGTGTTTACACTGACTACTGCACCTATGAATACAAATTAACAGACTTAAAATTACTGCGTATATTCGTGATTTTAAGTACAAAAATAATTGAGAGGAAAACTTTGACCAAAAAAAGATGCATTATTGATCATTTTTTATGTGAATTCTGAATTTAAAGAATATGAAAGATCAATTCATTAAATTCATACTTCGATTAATTTTTTAAACTAAAAATTGACACCGACGATTATTTGTATAAGGGCATAACATTTTTATTATTTTTCTCATATTCTCTTCGCCCTAAACCTGAAATGTTCATCTTCTTGCAAAACCCTGTGTTATTTTGCCACTTCTAAATTAATTATTATCAATAAATTTGACCAGAATGTTTCTGTTTAGATTAACTTTCGTTTAGAATTTATTTCACATTTTAATCATCCCAATTTGAGCTCGAATTTGAGTTATATTTAAACTACTTTAAATGATCCGCTGTTACTTTCAGGGGTACCTGCTGAGGCATTGGTACACCCTTTCGTTAGCCACATCCGTACCATTTGTACTGCTGTTCAGCTACTGGTGGATCATCCCCGAGAGCCCCAGGTGGTTGTTGAGTAAAAATAGGATAGACGAGGCTGAAGTTATTGTACAGCATATGGCTAGGGTCAATGGCAAAACTGTGCCGACGAATTTTCTGAGGAAAATGGAGGTATACTTATATCATTCTCACTGTCATCTTTGCTAAAACGATGCAAAACAATTGCAAAAAAACGATTTGATTCACGTTCTTCGATTTTCTAAACCCGAAGATGGAGATTCTGAAGAGACAAGGAGTCTCCTGTAACGGCAGAAATTCTGGAAATATCCTGGCACCTGGAGAAACGGAGGACAGACCCCCTCCGCCCTCAGCAACTCCCATGGACATAATAACAAATCCGAATATACGAAAGAAGTTCATCATCCTTGCATTCGACTGGGTGGCAAATGCTGTTGTGTACAATGGATTATCGTACAACACAACGAACCTCGGTGTATCCGATTACCTTGCCTTCTTCATAGGTAATTGAATGACATACTGACTATTTTTATGGCTCGTGTTGATAGAACATGTCGTTACACATCGTTAACATTTTCAATCGCTAAAGTTGTTTCAATCAATCTCAGACGATAGCATTTCATTCCAAATATTTGAAAGGCTGTGAACGTTTATGTACCAGTATTTTAGCTGTGCAGATGCATCAATTATTTATTCTCCCTCTGTTGTTTTCCCTGAACAGCTCAATTTAATTGGTACGTCATCTGTGAAAAATTTAGTCTATTGTAGCTTATGAATTATATTCCAGTTCTGTTAAAAATTCTATCAATTTCATTATTCTAGCATTATGCTATTGTTTTAGTTCAGTTGTAAAATTGAATTGTTGTATTGTTTTAGTTTAGTTGAAGAGATTAATTCATATAGAGGAATAAAAATCCAGTGAATTTTTTCCACAAAATATCAAAGTTCCATAAATTTCAAAAGAATTGCAATAGAATTGCTCAGCGAAAGTGCTGTTTCTCTATAAAATTTTTTTATCCACGATGTAATGGTATCGCGTAACTCTGAAGGTCACAGAATCACCAGCAATTTCACTTTAAATTCTATCAAACGATTTGCATACACCTAATAATAATCGCGTCACTCTGCATATAAAACGTTGATCGAATAAACGTTCTGATAATGTGGGTGTGTTGCAGGAGGCATTGTGGAGATACCGTCCTATGTTATAACATGGTACGCCATGGACAGACTGGGAAGAAGATGGGTACTTTGTTTGACAATGCTGCTGGGTGGTGTTGCTTGTGTTTCTTGTATGTTTGTACCTGAAGGTGACTATCAAAATCTTTCAAAATCAATTACTTCGTGGCCGTCCAACGCCGTTTACGAACATTGTGAAGAAAAATTATGTTCGTCACTCGGCCGAAAACAACATTTATGACTCGTGTGATTGCATTCCTTGGCTTCGTCTCGGTCTACAACCCTCACACTCATCAGAAGTTTTTTTTTCCGTACTGACGCACTTTTCCTCGTCCGGGGATTGGTATTGGCCCTTCCCCAAACTCGTAAAAGTGAAAATCACTACGGAAAAATATCGTTCACGACTAGTGCCATGGGATTTTTTAATTTGCGTGGTTGGTCAGTCCTCGCCTTCGGCTCGGACGCCAACTCCAGGCGAGTAACCATGGCACTCGTCCTGAAATGTACTATTTCGGCCTTGTGACGAAAATAGCTATTTCAGCCTCGTGACGAAATGGTATACAGTGGTTACTCCCTAGCATTTCAGCCTCTGGGGCCAGAATTCAAGGAATTAAATGCTCGGGAAGCCCTTACTCTTCCGCTGGAGGCGGAGCTAGGAAAGAGATAGAGAAGAATCTGCCAAGAATCTACCTCTCTTCTCTAGAATAGAGAAGAGAGAAAGAATCTGCCGGTTTCACTCTCACACGCCGAGAGTAATTTTACTGCGCAGTCCCGTCGCGCAGGAGGACATACAGATTTACCCAAACACATTTACGTTGTCGATGGTGGAGGGAGTCAACTTCTCCGACTGAAATGTTAGGGAGTAACCACTGTATTGTGTTACTAGTGCGTAAAGTTTCACTTGTTCACTCGCACGAGTAACATCCTATTTTTGTGGTATCTGCCCAGTTCACTATGCGGAACGCTAGTGGGGTAATTCCGTTGTTTTTGTCCACGAGTGTGTAAAATTCTAGAGCGTGCGTACACGGAGAGAGTACAAAATAAAAAATTACAATATCAACATAGTAATTGAGGGCCATACCGAAACAACTTCAAAATTTTATTTATCTTAACTGAATTTTTACTCGTGCCAAATTGAATTTTACTTTTATTCTACCACTTTTCACTATACTGACTCGCAATTTTTGCTATGTTCAATAGTAAATTTTGAGTGCGGCGAGTATGGCCCTCGAAGAGATAAAGCGGTTTAAGTCGACTGATCTCTTAGTTGAGGTTTTGAAGAATATCTCCGAATCCAAAGAAGGTAACGAAATTTTTATAATAAGCTTTTTCTTAGAGCAAATTGAGTGCTACAAAAAAGGTTTTGGCAAAAATTTATCTATCTTTCTTAGATTCTGAGATATTCACTGAAAACTGGTCAATAGTCAAAATCGACTTAAACCGTTTTACCACTTTGCTACTGATATTAAATTTTTTCTGTGTGAAGTTCGTTGACTTTACGCACGCCCGTGAACTTCACTCACGCTGTGTGGAAAACAACCGCTTCACGCCCACTAAACCGTTTCGAAAAGGGCATTTTTGAGGCAGATATCACAAAAATAGCTATTTCATCACAATGTGTGGAAAGCGAAGCGTGCGTAAAATTTCACTTTACGCACAAGCGATGAAAAATACTATTTCCACGAACATCAAACGTTTTTTTCACCAGAATGTGCGGCACGCGTTTCGTGCGTAAATCACCTCACACGTGATGAAAAACGTATTGAGCAAAATTCTGGGGTAAAATGTTTCAGATGCAGTTTGGGTAACTGTTTCCCTCGCAATGATCGGTAAATTCGGTATAGCCGCATCGTTCGCTGTATTTTACGTATTCGTTGGTGAGTTATTGCCAACGGTGTTGAGGTCCCAGGCAATGGGAATAGCCTCGTTCATCGCCGGAATCGGCCTACTGACATTCCCATACATCGTTAACCTAGCGGTTTACTCCAGAGTATTACCATTGATTGTGATGGGCACACTCAGTGTTGCAGGTGCACTAACGTCAATTTTTTTACCAGAGACACTCAATATACATCTGCCACAGACTATCGAGGAGGGAGAGATGTTTGGAGCTGATTTCAAGCTCTGGTCTTGTCCAACTCTTCCAGAGTAATTATTCTTTATTCTTATTTTTACGGTTTTCACGTCTGCTTGCTATTCCCCTTTGTAGTCCGTGTATGCTGTTAGTCATTCATTCTTTATTGCCTTCAATCGGGTATTTAAATTTTGAAATATTATTTCTATTGCAATTATAACAGTTCTATTGAAATTCCATTAGAAAATCGAATTGTTTTTTTCACCGATTTTTTATTGAAAATAATAGATTTTTTCTGTGCATTTATTAATAAATTTTTGTATTGAGAATAATCAATAGATTGATTTTTCTATATAGTTTATTCTTCTTTGCAGGAAAAAAAACAATTGCAGGAAAAAAATTATTCCCAAGAATTTCTATGAAAAATAAAAATCTTTTTACGTTTTTATCAACTATTTAATTCTATTGGAATTTTATCTGCGCATTTTTCAATGGAAATGTTTAATAAAACATATACATAGAAAAATCAATAAAATTTCATCTTTCTATTTGATTTATTCTATTGGGAAATCTAAAGAAATTCCTCGCCTCAAATTTACTAAGTTTTTTATTTAATTTTTATTTCACGAAAGGAGAAGAAGAATAGATTGCAAAGAATTCAAAAAATTAATGTTGAGGAATTCCGATACAAAATGTTTCAATAAAAAATGTTATCTACACAATTCTATCGAAAGATGGAATTCTATTGATTTTTTCTATTAAATAGTATCTATTGGACATTTCCTATGAAGAAAAGGGCAGTAGAGCAGCAAAGTTCTTGTCTAGAACCGCCAAAAACTACTAGAAATCTAATAGAATTTTCTATCGAATTCTTAAGATAAAATAATTGAAAAAATAATAGAAAAATATAAAAAAAATTTAACTAATCTCCGAAAATTTTCAGACGTACAAAAACAAAAACCCGCAGACGAGAGTCACTTCCCCTGAGATACCTCGTTAACGGACGCCCCGGTAGTCGCACAGGGTCCAGTGTCAAGACTACATTGGCCGAGTCAACGACACAAGAAAATATCGATCAACTGGGACGACTGTTGCCCCCTGCAAGCGAAGAAGTGACAGAAAACTTAAGTGTCACAAAAGACACTGACGAAATCGCGGGAAAGGGGGAGGGACAAAAGAGAATTCACAGTGCTGAAGTTTTTGTTGATCTGCGCGGAAGAAAATGACCCTCACCCTTCAAAAAACTCAACAGAAAACATGAGACACGGATAAATCGACGAACTTTTGTCTAATTGATGAAGAAAAAAAACCATAATGACTTTGTATTATACTGTCAGTATAGGAACGCATTGTATTTATTTTTTTCCATTCATTATAATGTACTTCCTTTCTAAAGTCTGGCTTGTGTCATAAAGTTCTTTATTGTTCTATTTATTCCGCCCCCAGATATATGACAACAAACGTTTTAATTAAAATCGAAGTTGTCAAGGTAAACATGATCGCCATTTATTTCAGACTTTTTTTTATTTCACTGTCATTTTGTTTTCATCGGCAAAACTGGTGAAAATTTTCGTTCATTATCTCGTAAATCCGTTGTAATCACCCCACCCCGGAGGTAATTCTCGACAATTCTTTAATTTCATTCAGTTTTCGCTCCTTTGGGACAAAATTCTTCGTGACAATGCGGGAAATAGTGCATATTCAGGCTGGCCAATGCGGAAATCAGATCGGCGCGAAGGTTAGTATCTCAACCCATTAATTCTCGTCGTTAATGATTAAATAATGAAGAATGAGAACTCTCCACTATACGCACGGCAAAATTTTATAGGTGAACCTAGCGAATTCGATAGAAAATTTTATCGAATTTCTGTTCAACTTTAACTTTTCTTTATCGAAGTTTTTTTGCTTTTTTCGCAATAGAAATTTTCAGACGAAAATATTTTACAAAAAAAATCAATAGAAGTTGATGTTTTCAGACAATTTGATCAACTGAAGATGATAAGTTTCTATAGAAATTCCTCGTCTCAGTTTTTCCGAATTTGTTTGTTTAATTTTTTTAATGGGAGCAGAACAAAAAAGGAATGGAAAGAACTCAGAAAATTTATGTTGAGAATTTCTTTTCTGCAGCGTTTTTGTTTGTTTTTTTTTAGTATAATTTTTCAACAAAAAACATTTCATTTTAAAAAATCAATAGAATTTAATTTGTTCATACAACTTACTCTATTAAGATATTTCAATTTCTCGCCTCAAATTTACCAAGTTTTCTATTTGCTTTTCTTCAATGAGGTGAGAAAAACTTGAGTGAAAAAAACTTAGACATTCGATGTCGAGAAATTCCTGTAGAAAATATCATAGTAGAAAGACCCGTACAGAAAAATCCGATTCTATTGATTTTTCCACAAAAACCATTTCTCTTAGCCATTTTCATTCCAAAACGCACAAAAAAGCTACATAAAGCAAATAAAATTTCACTAGAATTTCCCTCTGAATTCGATAGATTTCTCAATAAAATTTTTTCCGCTCGTAATTACTGAACAGTTCTGGGAGGTGATATCCGACGAGCACGGCGTGGATCCCACGGGCAAGTACCGCGGTGACTCGAGCGTCCAAGTAGAGCGAATAAACGTTTACTACAACGAGGCATACGAGGGAAAATACGTTCCCCGAGCGATTCTGGTGGACCTGGAGCCAGGAACGATGGACTCTGTGCGCTCGGGTCCCTACGGTGAGCTCTTCCGCCCCGACAACTTCGTGTTCGGTCAATCGGGGGCCGGCAACAACTGGGCGAAGGGCCACTACACCGAGGGCGCCGAGCTGACCGATGCAGTGCTCGAAGTCGTGAGAAGAGAAGCTGAGAACTGCGACCGCCTCCAGGGCTTCCAGCTCACGCACTCGTTGGGGGGTGGAACGGGCTCGGGAATGGGAACCCTATTGGTATCCAAGATCCGAGAGGAGTATCCGGACAGACTGATGTCGACATTCTCAGTGGTGCCTTCACCAAAAGTCTCGGACACTGTTGTCGAGCCCTACAATGCCATTCTCTCCTGCCACCAATTGGTCGAGAATACCGATCAGACTTATTGCATTGATAACGAGGCCCTCTACGACATCTGCTTCCGCACCCTCAAGCTCCCCACCCCCTCCTACGGCGACCTGAATCACCTGATCTCCCTCACCATGTCCGGCGTGACGACCTGCCTGAGATTTCCCGGACAACTCAATGCGGACCTCAGGAAATTGGCAGTCAACATGGTGCCTTTCCCCCGTCTCCACTTCTTCATAACCGGTTTTGCACCGCTGACGTCACGCGGCTGCCAGCAGTACAGAACGCTCTCCGTGCCGGAACTGACGCAGCAGATGTTCGACTCGAAGAACATGATGGCGGCGTGTGATCCCAAGCACGGCCGATACATGACAGTGGCCGCGGTCTTCCGGGGGAGAATGTCGGTGAAGGAGATTGACGAGCAAATGCTGAACATCCAGAATAAGAATTATCCGTACTTCTGCGACTGGATTCCTAATAATGTGAAGACTGCTTCTTGCGATATACCGCCCAGGGGACTGCAGATGTCGGCGACGTTCATTGGGAATTCCACGGCTATTCAGGAACTCTTCAAGAGGATTTATGATCAGTTCACAGCTATGTTTAGGAGGAAGGCTTTTCTCCATTGGTACACGGGGGAGGGCATGGATGAAATGGAGTTCACTGAGGCCGAGTCCAATATGGGGGATCTTATTTCGGAGTATCAACAGTATCAGGAGGTCAGCGCTATCGATGATGATTATGTGAATGAAGATTGAGAAGGTCCAGCGGACGACGACATCTATTTGTATTTTTTTGAGAGTATTTTACCCTTTTTTAGGGGGAATAAATGTTTGTTGAGACATTCTATTGAATTTATTTTAGTTTTTGATTCTTTTGACGCTCCACTACAATTTTCGCGAACTTCCTGGATTTTTCTGTTTCACAGAATTTGGGAGTGAATTTAGACGTTCGATGGGAGATGTTACAGGAAGCGCCGTTTCTCCATTGGATTGCTGAGATTTTCTCAAAAAATTGGAATTAATCCCTTAATTTTGTTAGTTTTTGTTAAGGGAATTTAAATTCATGTGGATTCGCTCAACTTTTACACACCTGTTTCATATTCATGGATTTAATGATTGGTTTTTTACCCAATTTTACATGTCTGTCAATTTTTTTGTAATTTTTTATTTGTCCTATCCCTTTTGGAGCGAAATAAAAATTACCGACTTTTATACGCCTGTTTCATATTCATCTATTTAATTATTGGGTTTGTAGACGATTTCACATGTCTGTAATGGATTGATTCCCATATTTCACTTTGTTCTCATTTTAATGAATGAATTAACGAGTTGAATGAGATTAATTGCGATGCATGAGTGATTACAGGTGTTTTGATTGGAAATCTATTACGATTCTAATGAAATTCGATCCGTTCGTCGCTCATTTTCCTTTTTTTTGCAGAATTTTCTATAGAAATTCGGAATTCTAAAGAAGTTATGTTTGAAAAAAATAGAAATCGTCAATTTTCACTCGTCCCTATCATAATCCCTTTTGATGCGAGCAAAATAAAAATTCCCAACTTTTATACGCCTGTTTCATATTCATCTATTTAATTATTGGTTTTGTAGACGGTTTCACACCTGTAATAGATCGATTCTCATAGTTCATTTTGTGCTCCCATTTTAATGAATGAATTATCGAGTGTGAATGAGATTAATTCTGATACATGAGTGATTACAGGTGTTTTGATTGGAAATCTATTACGATTCTAATGAAATTCGATGCGTTCGTTGCTCATTTTCCTTTTTTTTTGCAGAATTTTTTATAGAACTTCGAAATTCTAAAAAAGTTGTACAGAAAACGCAATGTTTCTCTATCGAATTGTTCCATACATCTACATTCGCATTATTTATTCCCTATTATTGTGAAAAAAATAGAAATCGTCGATTTTCACTCGTCCCTATTATAATCCCTTTTGGCGTGAGAAAAATAAAAATTCAGAACTTTTATACGCCTGTTTCATATTCATCTACTTAATCATTGGTTTTGTACACGACTTTGCATCTCTTTACAATGAATTGATTTCCATATTTGATTTTGTATTCTGATTGTTAAGAACGAATTAGCGAGTTAAATGAGATTAATTCACATCCACGAGTGATTACAGGGGTACGCTAATTCTTTGAATATCATATCGGGCAATTGTTTTCTCGGTGGTACACGTGTCTGCATGACATTCGAGGGAATTATAATTAAATGATCAAACGAATATCCATGGGTGGCTATCGACTGCCATCGTCCTTCTAGCCAAACTCAGACTGATGGAACTTGGACCTTGGGAAAAATTGGCGATTATGCATTATCTCATCGGGTACGAGGACAAATAGAGGTATTGCGTATGTCGCTGGTCGCACGAGTGTTCGTGATTTTCGTTCGTTATCGATTTTGCAAGGGGGGAAGGGGGTGTGTACTTTGAAATCAGTTGTTTCTCGCTCTTCATCTGATTTTTCTTTCCTTTTGGATTCACATTTTCGAGCATTTCAGGTCTTCGTTGGGATAAATTTTACTGATAAATTTTCTTCGGGGTAAATTGACGCTAAATCATGCGTGAGATAGTTCACGTACAAATTGGACAGTGTGGAAATGGCATCGGTTGTCGGGTAATTCAATGAATTATATCCGTTGTATTATCAAGTTATCATGATGACATTAATCGTTGCCAGTTTTGGGAGGTGATTGCTGATGAGCACGGCGTTGATTGCTCGGGAAATTGGCGCGGGGAATCCGATCTACAACTGGAGCGGATGAATGTGTTTTTCACGGAAGCCAGAGGTTTGATAATTTTGGTGGAAATGTCGATCTGTCGAATTGGAAGTTGTAGGTCGACCTCTTCCATCGGGAAATGACATAATTCGGATGGAAAGATTCAATAACAGTGACTGAATACAGAATCAACATTCACTTGGCGAAAAAATTAGATTTTGGCGAAAGTCGACTTTCCCTGTGACAAAATTCAAGATCTGACATTTGATCGAGGGAAAAAAAAAATTTTATTTTGACATTTCTGTTGCCTCCGAGTGTTTCATTGGCATCTAAGAGGGGAATTAATACCAAATCGACATTCACTTGGCGAAAAAATTAGATTTTGGCGAAAGTCGACTTTCCCTGTGACAAAATTCAAGATCTGACATTTGATCGAGGGAAAAAAAAATTTTATTTCGACATTTCTGCCGCCTCCGAGTGTTTCATTGGCATCTAAGAGGTGAATTAATATCAAATCGACATTCACTTGGCGAAAAAATTAGATTTTGGCGAAAGTCGACTTTCCCTCTGAAAAAATCCAAGATCAGATCTTGGATCTGACCCTTGATCCAGGAAAAAAAAAATTTTTTTATTTTGACATTTCTGTCACCTCCGAGTGTTTCATTTGCATCTAAGGGGTGAATTAATACCAAATCAACATTCACTTGGCGAAATAATTCGATTTTGGCGAATAGAGTTTCTATTGAAACGTTCAACGATTTTCGACTCATATTTAACCGAGAACAGTCTATAGAATTTGATTTTTTTGTTTCTTATTAGAAAATGCAATAAAAAGAAATTGCGAAATTCATACCGAGGAATTGTTATAGAAAAAATCGCAAAAGAATAAATTATGAGTGAGTTCAATTGATGAACTTATTTCTGATCTATGAACATTTAAAAAATGTAAAAAACATCATTTGAAATGGGCATAAAACATCTAGAATTCTTAATAGAATTCATGAAACCCGTAAAATTTTCTAGGTTTTTTCTTTCCGTCGAATTTTTCTGCGCATTTTAGTAACAATCAAAGCCAAGTTAAATTATTGAGTTGTCGAGTATTGACGAAAAAAATCAATCACTTACATTCGAAGGCGGAAGATTCGTACCAAGGGCGATTCTAGTAGACCTGGACGAGTCGAGTCTCGCCTCGGCGATGTCTTGTTCCATCGGTCGGCTCTTCAGTCCAGATAATGTCGTGTCGGGTCGGGCAGCAGCCGCGAATAACTGGGCCAAGGGTCATTACACCGAAGGGGCGGAAATTATGGACCACACTTTGGAGCTGATCCGCAGGGAGGCTGAGAGTTGTGATATGATACAGGGTAATCCCGTCGTTGCACTTTTATTTAGTTGATTATTAGTTATTTTCACGATTTTTCAGTCATAATTCGGATTTCAAAGTCTCACCAATAATTTATTCGTCTCGGAAACGTTTTTTATTTTTATTTTTTCAAATAAAAAATGGAAAAAATGATTTTTTTTTACGAAAATATGAATTATTTGCTCCTGAATTTCCTCTCTATCAAAAACAAGAGGAGAAACTGTGAAGTTATGAATAAAAAATCTACCAGAAGAATAATAGATTTCTCGATAGAATTCAATGTTTTCTCATGAATTCTTCATTTACATCGACACTTTTTAAAATATTTTCATTCGTAACTCGTAATATTCAGCCACTTCACTACTGAACTGCTTCAAAATCATCATTTGTATGCATAACAGTCTCAACCAACTGTAATAGCCATGACACAATGTCCCCTCATCGTAGATACGACAATCACACAATCATTGTTGAGCTGTGATTCAAAATGATCAATTCAATTGACTGGAAAATGAGAATCGGACGATGAACTCATCTCCCGTTACGGGAAGGTTCACCCCGGGAAAACACTTTTTCGTTTTACAAGGAAAAAAATTTTAAAAGTACTATCTTTTGCATGATTTGTCCTCAGGAACCCGAAGACAATTTTGGTCTACAAAATATCCCAAACGGTTTATTTTAATTGAATAAACTGTATGTGATTCAAATAAAGTTTATGTAATTCAAACAACTATTTTCTTTGGTGTCGAGCGAACTAGCGAGATTATTCTGTTAGATTTCTATTGAACTTTCTATTAGTTTTTGGCCGATTCCATTGAATTGTTCAAGAGAAAATAGTCTATAGAAAAAGTCAATAGAATTTGATTTGTTATACAATTTATTCTATTGAAATAGTTTCTATGGAATTTTCTCGGCTCAAATGTTCCTTTTTTTCATTCTATTTTTCTTATCTTTTCATCAAGAAAATGAAACAAAAAAACGTAGAAAATTTGAGACGAGAAAATTCTGCAGAAAATATCTCAATTGAGCAGTTTAATAGAATCTGCCAAAAACTAATAGAATTTTCAATAAAAATAAACTAAAAATCTCCACTGAATTCGCAAGCAGATGTCAGCATAAACATAACTTTGAATTAAAGTTAAATTTTGAATAATTTAATTGTTACTATTAGGTACTCAGCAATTTTTTGATTATTGAAATAATCATCAATTAAACATTCAAATTTCGAATTATTTTATCAACCAATAATCGAGAAATTAAATTACCAACTTTATATTATTTTTCAAATTTCAATGACGATAAGTAGATCTCAATTATTGTAAGGCGCAACTTCTCATAACATTACTAAAGTAATGATTGATGCGGATCTACGTTCGCAAGTTTTTTCTATTAATTTTTTTCATACGTGCACAGCAAACAGTATGTCGACAAATTGTCGACAAATTGCCGATGTCCTGTTAAATTTTAGATGGCATTGGCAAAAATTATTTTCTGGGTGATGGATCCCCGAAAGAAATCATGCAAAAATACTTGAAAAAATTCTCCTCGAAAAGCAAAAAAGTTTTTTTCCGGAGTGAGCCCCCCTTACCTGGACAATGCTACTTTCCAGGATTTCAAGTTGTCCATTCGCTAGGGGGTGGAACGGGCTCGGGAATGGGAGCCCTACTCCTCACGAATATCAGGGAAGAATATGGAGACAGAATAGTCTCGACGTACTCGATTCTACCGTCGGCGAAGATGTCAGAGACCGTTGTGGAGCCGTACAACGCAACCCTCTCGATCCACCGATTGGTAGAGACAACCGACGAGACCTTTCTTATCGATAATGCAGCACTGCACGAGATTTGCACGCGAACTTTGAAGCTTATCAAGCCATCTTACGGCGATACCAATCACCTCGTGGCGATTTGCATGGCGGGGGTGACCACTTGTTTGAGATTTCCCGGGCAACTCAACGCGGATTTGCGGAAGATACTCGTGAATATGGTGCCCTTTCCACGGCTGCATTTCTTTGCACCTGGGTATGCACCGCTGGTGTCGAGGGGCGGCGGTGCTTACCGGGCGGTCAGTGTTCCGGAGCTTACGAAGCAAATGTTCGACGCGAAAACACTTTTTGTGCAGTGCGATCCTACCACAGGACGGTATCTCACTGTTGCCGCGATCTTTCGGGGGAGAATGTCTACGAAGGTAGGTGAATTGATGCAACGGGCGGTTTTCGGGTTTTTTATGGGAGAATTTGATAGGAAAGAACTTCCCGAGGAAAGAAAAAATTACAGTGGAACTCCCGTAACTCTGCTCACCTTCGCAAGTGGACACTGTCCCGCCGCACGAGAGAACTGTTCTCCCACCATTACTATTTCCCTAGACGTGGGGGGGAGGGTGTTGTTTGTACAATCGTCAAAAAAAGTTCGGAGAGTAACTAGACGTTATTTGGCCCAAGCTTGTGCCAATCAACGTCTAGTTCTCCCAGAATTTTTTTTTACGATTGTACATACAATCTCAGATGGACACATTCCGTTTTGAACGCGTTCTAGGGAAAATGGCGACAGTACGGGAGGCGGTTTTTGGACAATTGATTTTTTGGACAAAACAATTTTTTTTCAACATGAAGAATCCAAGAAAACCAAACAACTCCTATTGGAGTAAGGGAGGGTTAGGTAAAACGGACACTTTTGACTTTTTTTAAAATATTCATGGCGTGTTGAATTGTTCATGAAATGAAATGATTTTATTTTTCAATTGAAAAACAATGATTCCTCTTTGTGATGAGCTCAGACTGAGCTCAATTGATAAATCTGTTTCTGAGTTATGAATATTTTTAAAAAAGTCAAAAGTGTCAATTTTACCCTACCCTCCCCTATGTTTCTAAAGACTCCCTTAATCCCATAAAAAATCCCCAACCCCCTGGGAAACGTACTTGAGGGTAGTACAAGGGTGAAAAGTTCGTTTTGAGCGATGTTTTGGACAAAACAATTTTTTTCCAACATGAAGAATAAAAAAAAAACGAACAACTCCTAGTGGAGTATGTTTCTAGGGACTCCCTTAATTTCAGATAAAATTCCCAACCCCCTGGGAAACGTACTTGAGGGTACTAGAAGGGTGAAAATTTCGTTTTGTACGATTTTTACACGAAAAAATTTTTTTTGAAAATGAAAAATTGAAAAAAAACGAACTATTTCTATAGGAGCATGTTCCTAGGCACTCCCCCAATTCTATAAAAAATTGTCAACGCCCTACGTACTTGAGGGTAGTAAGGGAGTGAATACTTCTTTTTCGCGATGTTCACTCGCCGCTTCTATTAAAAATATTGCACCTTTCACGTGCCTTTTTTCATAGTTATTTGTTCATAAAAAAATATATAGATGTTGATTTTTTCACATAACTCATCCTACTGAGATGATTTCTATAAGAATTCCTGAATAAGAATTTTCCAAGTTATTTTTCTTAGATTTTTATGCGAAATAAATGAAAATACAACGGAAAGAATTTTGAAAACTGATGCCCAAGAATTTCTGTAGAAAAATCAAATCAATTGAACATCTTCCAACAACATGACACGGTAAAATTGCATAATTTGCAATATTCCACTCGAATTCTCCGATGGAAATTCAATAGAATTTCTTAATGAAAATGTTAGATTCTTCAATATGTTTTTTTATAAAGTAAAATATTGCGAAAAGGTCTGCATTTCATGACTGCACAGTTGTTTTTTCGTGCAGCAAGTGGATGAACAAATGCGGAATATTCAGGACAAAAACAGCAGATACTTCGTCGAGTGGATTCCCAACTGTATAAAAACAGCAATCTGCGATATACCGCCTCGAGGGCTCAAAATGGCAGCTTCGGTAATCTCCAATACAACTGCGATCCAAACGCCCTTCAAAAGAATTTCCGAGGCATTCGGTGCAATGTTTAAGCGGAAAGCTTACATTCACTGGTACGTAGGTGAAGGCATGGACGAGATGGAGTTTAGTGAAGCCCAGAGTGGACTTCACGACTTGATATCGGAATACCAACAGTACCAAGAGGCGAACGGGTACGAAGATGATGATAATGATGCTGACGATGAGGAAGAATAGATCAATGGGATGAATAAAATTCATTCGTACAATTGAATGTGCAACTTTATTCTTCAGACTTTGGTGCAGAGTACAAATTAAACATAACGTTCCACATAATTCGAAATATTGTAATCATAAGGAATACCATGACTGTCTCTTTAGTAATCAGCTGCAGCAAAACAATAAAACAAAAACATTGACATTCTTATAAAAAGTACGAGAACTCCACTCAGAAATTTAATTGCGTAATAAAACGATAGAACATTCTCCTAAAAAAATGACAAAAATCATTAATTCAAAATTCACCAAGTGACGTAGAATATCATTAAATAAAATAGAAATCAGTCTCTTCACTCCTGTTCACAAGTCTCAAAGTCATCAACGCCCTCCTCAGCCTCGAAGTCCGCAGCAATGAACTATTCTGAAATGCGTTTGAACAGCTCAAAATTTGTGGTATCACCAAAATACACAAATGAAGGTGATAATGAGGAAGCAGAAATAAATGAAATGAATACAATTCAATGTGCAATTTTATTCATCAAAGACTTTGGTGCAGAGTACAACCAAAACATAATGCTCCACATAACTCGAAATATTGTAATCATAAGGAATATCATAACTGTCTCCTTGGTAATCAGCTGTATCACACACATTCCCCCCAAAGCTCCATTTCTAACGAACAAAAAACATTGACATTCTTATAAAAAGTACGAAAACTCCACTCAGAAGTCTAATTGCGCAGCGAAACGATAGAACATCTAAAAAAATGACAAAAATGATCAATTCAAAATTGACCAGGTGACCTAGAATACCATTAAATAAAATAGAAATCAGTCTCTCTTCACTCCTGTTCGCAAGTCTCAAAGTCATCAGCGCCCTCCTCAGCCTCGAAGTCCTCCTCAGCAGTGGCCTCCTGGTACTGCTGGTACTCAGACACCAGATCATTCATATTGGACTCGGCCTCAGTGAACTCCATCTCGTCCATTCCCTCCCCGGTGTACCAGTGCAGAAAGGCCTTTCTCCTGAACATGGCAGTGAACTGTTCCGAAATGCGCTTGAACAGCTCCTGAATGGCCGTGGTATTGCCGATGAAAGTGGATGACATCTTGAGTCCCTTCGGCGGAATATCGCAGCACGCGGTCTTCACGTTGTTTGGAATCCACTCGACGAAGTACGAGCTGTTCTTGTTCTGGACGCTGAGCATCTGCTCGTCGACTTCCTTCATCGACATTCTCCCCCGGAAGACAGCGGCAACAGTCAGGTATCTGCCGTGACGTGGGTCGCAGGCTGCCATCATGTTCTTGGCGTCGAACATCTGCTGAGTGAGTTCGGGGACTGATAGCGCCGAGTACTGCTGCATTGAGCGCGACGTCAGGGGCGCGAAGCCTGGCATGAAGAAGTGGAGGCGGGGGAAGGGCACCATGTTCACTGCCAATTTCCTCAGGTCCGCATTGAGCTGTCCGGGAAATCTCAGGCACGTGGTGACGCCGGACATGGTGAGGGACACGAGGTGATTCAAGTCCCCGTAGGAGGGGTTCGCCACCTTCAGGGTGCGGAAGCAGATGTCGTAGAGGGCCTCGTTGTCGATGCAGTAGGTCTCGTCGGTGTTCTCCACCAGTTGGTGCACCGAGAGGGTCGCGTTGTACGGCTCGACAACAGTGTCGGACACCTTCGGCGATGGCATCACTGAGTAGGTGTTCATTATTCTGTCTGGGTACTCCTCGCGGATCTTGGAGATGAGGAGGGTGCCCATTCCTGAGCCAGTGCCGCCGCCCAGGGAGTGCGTCAGCTGGAAGCCCTGCAGGCAGTCGCAGTTCTCGCACTCCTTGCGGACTACGTCGAGCACTGAGTCCACTAGCTCCGCTCCCTCGGTGTAGTGGCCCTTGGCCCAGTTGTTGCCCGCGCCCGACTGACCGAATACGAAGTTGTCGGGGCGGAACAGCTTGCCGTACGCCCCCGAACGCACTGCGTCCATTGTTCCCGGCTCGAGGTCCAGGAGAATCGCGCGGGGCACGTATTTACCACCATTTGTGGCTGTTGCGACTGGAAATTTTTTTTTTTTATTATTAGTTTGGGGGGAGACGTATCAATAAATTCGATGGAATAAATTTTTTTCTGAGAAATTTCGTTGAGGTTTTTTTCTGGAAGAATTCAATTGGATTCTTTTAGTGGTTTTTAATGAAAATTGTGCTAATTTGTGTTTTCATAGATATTTGATGGGATAAATTTTTTGCGGGAGTTTATAATTTTCTATTTATTCGATTTCTTATTGTAAATTTCAAAAGAAAAGATTCAAAAATTCATGTTCCATAATTCTCATGGATCTCACGAGAATAACTTACAGAAAAAATCGACATCTATTGATTTTTTTTATCAATAATTTTGACAAAGAAATTAACTATTACAAAAACTTTGAAGTATTCATTATCACATTTTTCCAAAATGATTGCAAATCTGCATAATTTTCAACAGGAATTAATATAATAATTCACGTTTGGAAGAATTGAATGGAAAACGTCGTCCACTCGTTAGAAAATTCTCTTCTATTCTTTTTGATTAATATCAATTCAGAATTACATAACTTTGTTCTGTGCTTTTCCGATAAATATTTTATTTAAAAAATTCAATCCACACAATTCTATGAGATTTGGGTATACATCTTATAAATTAAAGGGGATAAATCTTCCTGGCCTTTTCTTCTTGGATTTTGCAAGGAAAAACTAAAACTGATCTGAAAGGAAGACAATTTGACTCATTCCGCTTTAGAAAATTGAATAGTGCATTCATATTATCTTCTTTTCCTTCCCTTCAGCCTAGAAAATTCCTGCATAACTGTATTATGGCCAACTGCCCACATTTAGCCCGCCCAGTTGCGATTTCGAGACCATCGGGATATGAATAAATTATCCTGTCGCCGAAAAGTCGTCTTAACGATGACCGGAATAGCTGACGGAAGCGCATATACGGTTTCTACCTCGTGCACGTTTTCCAAATGAGCCACGAGTAGCACTAGACGAGTACAATCACCCCTACACTGGGCCAACGTTGTAATTTTGCGTCTCGTTCATTTATTTTTTTCGCCAATTCAATTTGAATGTTTTAACGGAATTGCGAGACGAGTTTAATTGAAAGTGACACGCGTTTATTTCTAGCTGCCGCGTGGCGATAAATCCCTTCGGTGTCTTCTCACTTTTTGATTTTCGGACGAATTTATTCCCTGCAGTTTCAGACGTCTGTCGTCTCGCGAGCTTTCCGCACTTTCTCATAAACTATTTTCGTGAACAATGCGGGGCGGGAGTGTCAGGAGTCAAATTACAAGAGGATTTTCTCACCGGATGCCTCATTGTAGTAGACAGAAATTCTTTCCAACTGAAGATCACTGTCACCGTGATAAATACCGGTCTGGTCGATGCCGTGCTCCTCGGAAATTACCTCCCAGAACTGCGAAAAAGTAAATTGAAGTGTTAAAGGCGCTTTAAAAAAACTATCATTTTATTTTACTGAAAAGAATTATTATTATTTCAAAATAATTGATTTTTCAGTTTTATAATTATTACATTTCATTATTATTACTATTATTATTATTCTCATTATGAAAGAGTTCCTACAGTCGTCAAGTACGCTGTTAAAAATTTTTGTCTGAAATTTCCGGTACACTTTTTGGAATTTCGTCATTGAAAATTCAGAATTTCGGGGAAAAATCAAAGAGAACTGTAAATTTCAGCTCCATTTTTCCATGAAAATGAATAGAAAATCAGAAAATTCCGGTAAATATGTTCTTGAATTTTCAGGACAGTGACACTGAATGCGATTTAGGGGGAAAATCATGAAATTTCAGATTTCACTGAAAATTCAATGTAATTTGGCACTGAATATTCATATTTGATTGGAAATTCAAATAAATTGAGTAATTCTCGTCTCGATGCTGCTTAAAATTCATGAATTTTACTGAATATTCAATGAAACCGGAAATTTTATGATGTTTTTCCCTAAATCGCATTCATTCATTCATTTTCTAAATCACATTATTTATAAATAAAAACAACTAATGAAATGAGAACAATAATAATTTTTATTATGTAAAAAGAATTGTGATTATTGAAGAAAAATAACGTCAAGTATATGAGAAAATATATTTTTTTCTTATTAGTTAAAATAATTGTTATTACCGGAAATAAATCCACGTCTTATTGAATTGATGAATCAATTCTGCACTTTTTTTATAATTTTGAAATATTGCGTGGAATTTGTAACAAGATTTTAGAAACTCCTGAGACATTTCGTAAGATTTACAAGTCTTGCATTATTAGAATAATCATTGTAAATGAGAACAATAATGTGTTTCGTAACAATAATTGTTATTATTGAAGAAAAATTTCAATTTTTTATTGAATTGGTCATTTAGCGCAAGATTACCTGTTGCATTGCAATTCCAAGATTTCGCAAAATACCCGGGTTTTTGCGAAAAACTTCTGACTTCATGAACATTTCAAAGAATTAACAAAATTTCAGTTCTGCGCAGCAAAATATACAGAAAAGTTGGTTTTCCAATCCTCAACGTAGAATTGTGTCTCACATTCTTTCTGATTTATGGTGACTCCGATTAGAAAAGGAGGAATGCAGAATTAATGAGAATAGGGGGGACTATCGTATTACCTTAATTTTACCCAGTATCTTGAACCACAAGACTTTGGAGACGTACGAGGGCAAGTTTCCCCGGTCCAGGAATAGAAGAGGACGAAATTAACGCGGCCTATGGCCCTCCTACCATGGCAAAACTCCCCTGTTTCAATGTGACTTGTGCGTTTGTCTTTTTGGGCGACTATTTTTCCTCCAAGTTATTATTAGGAGCTTCGTCATACGTCGCTTACCCCAGTGCACTCGAGTTTTAGGGATTTTCTACTGCGAGAAGTGGATTCCACTTCAGGGCACTCCACCTCAATTCCTTCTACGTCTGACGTGAGGAATTCACTGATATGCTCTCGATACGAGGATTTGTCGCGATTATTTCCAATTAAAAACCGAGATTTTTAACGCAGGAAATGATATTCTTAATTCATGAATTTTCGGGACTATTCTTTTGCCAATTTAAATGTGAATATTTTTTACTTAAAGTAGCTCTACTCTTCGGCCGGGCTACGCTGTACTTTTGGATATTTTCAGTTTTAAAATTTTTCAACTAAATTGCATGGAAAAAATTTGAAAAAATCATGAATATTCGTGTCATTAAAGTAAAATTTCGCACATAATTATTTTTTTTTTTAACATTCGTTGTTTATAAATAAATAATTGAAATTGTTTAAACTTTCGGAAACTTCATTTTTTAGGCATAAAATCGGTTTCTGGTAAAATTCTGAATGCTAATAAATTTGTTACAAATCCGAATAAATGATTTTTATGGTGGAAAATTAATGTAATTTTGAAAAATTGCACTTTTTAAATTATTTCGTCAATGCTCCCTCCAAAAGTAAACTTTTACTTTTTTCAGATTTTTTGAATTTTTTCTAACCATTCAATTTTGAGATTGAAATTGAGACCTGCAAAGTTTAAATAATAAATGTTCGACAAAAGTAGAAAAGCATTTCACTGGAGACAAACATCCGAAGTATTTGGATATCCTTAAGAATAAAAATTCTCAGTTCAAAATAAAATAATGAATGATATAAATAATAACAAGCAAATAATAAATAAATAACAATTGTATTTTTAACACAGGAAATAATTATTCTTAATCCAAGAATTTTAGAAAATATTTGTTGTCAATTGGAATACGAACATTTTGTATTCAAGAATAAAAATTCTGCGTTCGGAATAAAATGATAAAACATTGTCAATATTTGAAAAAAATATTAGCTTCTTCTTCATTTACTTTTCTTCCGTTATTCTATTTCCTCATTTTTGCGGCAAATGTGGAATTTACAAGAAATATGCGGTCCATCCGTTCTCATCGATTCCGTAATAACAGCACTTCTCAAACGGTAAATGATTGGGCTTTTCCGAAGAAACAAAAGGACGTGATCGCCTCTGCGGTGGAATCCAATACTCCGGCATGAAATGCTTAAAGACTTGAGTGCTCATCAGACAAGTTCGTGATACAATCCACTCCACCTTCACCATCATATCAAATTCCCCGAGTTTCAGCCTTACTCCATTCCAAATGCTCATTGAAACGTAAACCCCGTCCTGTACCACATTTTCCAGCACAAAAAGCCCTCTCAATCTCAATAAATGAGCAATTATTTACCACTCCAATTCATTTATGACTGACTTCCAGGCACTAATCACCGAGCTCAACTCGACCAGAATCTTTGAAATAATTCCAAGACTTTTTTTACGATGAATTTCCGGTAACGGTTACGGGAAAATGAGTTTGTATTTTATGATCCTCAATAGCTAGCGCGTGAAACAGTCAATGGGATGGGTTGGTGAATAGGATTCAATTTGTTGGTATGTCCGAGGGCTTCTCGAGAGAGAGAATTAACTGACTCACACAATAAGTATTCTCCAGCAAGAAAATTTAATTAAAAAATTCGCATTCCGTAGCACATTCTGTCGTTTTTTAACACGTTTTTAATAGATATATTAAATGAAAAATATTGATTTGGAAAATTTCAAGGGATTTCGATTCAGAATTCATCAGTTTTTTTATCGCAATTTTTCCCATTCATTGAAGAATTTAAATTAAAAAATTTTTTAAATTTAATTTGCGAAATTTCTATGGAATCGATGTCAACAGATCAAAATGCATCGATTTTTTTCTATAAAATAGGTTTCCTTGGGCATTTCTATTGGGAAAAAATACGCATGAAACGGAATTTTTCGATGGAATCGGCTAAAAATAGACAGAATTTGCAATGGAATAAGTATTCTCCAACAAGAAAATTTAATGGGAAAATTCGCATTCCGTAGCACATTCTGTCGTTTTTTAACACGTTTTTAATAGATATATTAAATGAAAAATATTGATTTGAAAAATTTTAAGGGATTTTTATTCAAAATTCATGAGTTTTTTATTGAAATTTTTGCCATTCATCAAGGAATTCAAATTTAAAAATTTTGAAAATTTAAGTTGAGGAATTCCTATGGAATCAATCTCAACAGATCAAAATGCATCGATTTTTTTCTATAAAATATGTTTCCTTGGGCATTTCCATTGGAAAAAAAATACGCATGAAACGAAATTTTTCAATGGAATCGGCTAAAAATTGACAGAATTTGCAATGAAATTCTAATGTGCTAGGTTTTCCTGTCAATTTTTCTCCATTCGTCATTTAATTCCATCAATTTGGAGCCCTCGAACGATTTCCTCCCCATCTTCCCGAGATACGCTGCACTCGCAGATAAAGATAAAATAAAAATTTGTGCGAATAACGATAAGAGAATGAATGACTCTTATCGAGGTTTCTGTATGATTCAGTATCTCAAGGCTTCTTTTATTTACGGAAGAATGAGTAATTGTCTTCTCAAGAGCGTGAGCTCTGAAACTTAAGCCCCCGGAAATGATTGGATCCAGTCCTGCGTTAAAGTTTAGTATTTCAGAATTAATGATGACGTACAAGTCCGCAATATGTTATCCACGAAACTGAGGAAATTGCATGGACTCCAGGATGTTCCCCAGTCCCGCATTTCCCGTTCGTCTGTAATTTACATTCGACGAGAATTCCCAAGGGCTCGTGAGGGCGACTCATGAGAAAATGTCCCTCCCAGTTTGAAATTTTAATTTCTATTTTCAAATGAGTTGAGTGACCTCCGAGAGCACAAAATTTTTATTAATTCCATTCAAGTGGAAATTACCTTGGCTCCGATTTGATTGCCGCACTGGCCGGCCTGAAGATGAACTATCTCCCTCATGATTCAGACTGATTGGAATTGAACGCGAAGTGCAGTCTCAAGTGGCCCACACGGTCCTCAGAGATTAGTTTTAGCGGTTCTGAGAGCTGTTGGCGGGTCTGTGGCACAAACTCGACTCGAATCGGTCAAATCATTCACGTACTGGCGCCCGCCAAGAGCATACTGGGTGGTGGGGGAAGGAGACTTATCCTCTTGGGGAGACATCCCTTCTTCAACACGTGCTAGGGAATCCTCTTTTTTCGCCTCGGTTCGCTGGTTTTTATTTACCAGGAGTCTATGGTTTTGTTTGCCTCGGGGATTAGCAGAGGTCTTGGAATTCCTTGGAGGCGAGAAAATATCGACGACTGGAGGTAGCCCTGGGGACATCTGCAATTCCATTCTCATAGGTTTGAAAATTTGCGAATTAAATTGGGTGAGAGGATTTTGAGGAAAATCACAATCGTGAAAAATTGCAGTAAAGTAAATGTTGTAATTTCCTTCGAAATTTTTAGGTTTTCAAACGGTTTGAATTGAATCCGGGAATCAAGTTTTGAATTTTTAAGGCATTAAAATAATAGAGGATGGCAAAATTTTAAGTGAAGCTGTGACGTTAATTACGGACAATTTTAACGGCGAAGAAATGAAAATTTAATATTTATTCTTTTTTTTTCAACGGTTGAAAATTGAAAATGAAGTGAAGAATTTCAAAAGCATAAATAAATGAAATTAAATTTAAACAGAGACAATTGGACTTGATATTGAATAAAGAAAAATAAACAGAATTTGGCTCGATCTTTCAATAAATCAAAATAAAAATCCGATGAAACTCCGATGTTAAACTAAAAAATTTGAAAAGAATTCCATTAAAAAACTGTCTGAGCACTTGGACGTCCTTGAGACTCTATTTTACACCGGATTTCTTTTATTTGGACATTTAGCGGGTGAAGAATGATTTAAATGCTCTCCGAATTTTAACAGCAAAGAAATAAAAATCAATATTTTTTCATAATTGTTTCAACATTTGAAAATTTAAAATCGAATCAAAACATTAAAAAATTTTAATAAATGAAATTAAATAACTAAAAAATAGAGAAAATTGGACTTGATATTGAATAAAGAAAAATAAACAGAATTTGAATTGATTCTTGAATAAATCAAAATATGAAACTCCGATGTTGATTATTTTGCAACATTTTTAGTGGTGTAGAAGATAATTTAAATACTCGCCGGAAGCTCGGATCCTTAACAACAAGTTTTAAAAATAATTTTAACAGTAAAAAAAATAAAAATCCTTTGTTTTTTCATATTTTTCTCAACGATTGAAAATTAAAAATCGAATCAAGCCTTTAAGTGTGAATACAGGGAATCAAATAGACAAAAATAAAGAGAATTGGGCTGGACATTGGCGTAAATTAAATTACGAAGCTCCGATGTGAAACTAAAACTCGATAAAAATTTAATTTAAAAAAATTGTCCGAGCGACGTCCTTGAGTCTCTATTCTTGCCCGAATTCATCTTATTTTGTTTGACATTTTTTTGGAAGAAGATGATTTAAATCCCCTCTGGAAGCTGTTAAAATGTTCCTTCTCGGGTTTTAAACCGTCGCTTAAATATCCGTGAGATGAGCTAGAGATGCCAGAAATTCTCCGACATCTCTCCAGATTGAGACAAATCATGAGAGACGACATTACACTTGCGGACGACTTGAAGTGCTTGAGTCATCGTCTCTATCGCAACGAGACGGAGTGGCAATTCCCCGTTGACAACTCAATAAAATGATGATAATAAATGCCATGTTTACCGAACAATTACACTCATGAGTCATTAGAAATCTACCCCGACGTGTTAATCTCATTCATTCGATTCATGGAGAAAAAAAAAATAAAGGGAAAAACGAGGAAATCATCGGGAGATAAATTCTGTGGGGTCACTGCGGTTTTGAGTGTTCGTTATCACTAGCTTAAAACATGAATACTCTTCGGGACTGCGGTAACATATCCACATCCCGAGCGTTCGTTTCCAGCTGCGTTTGACATTCTCGAATGCACCTCCTACTGGGAGAAAAAATTCATTTCTATTATTGTCGACAGTTATGAGGTCCCTCAACTCTTTCCGTGCGACTCAGTGAGTGACATCTCAAAACGTATTCTCGGTGTTTCAATAATCACATGAGATCACGCACGAAAAAATTTCATAGAAATAACTAGGGCATTTGATAGAAAGTTCTACTGGATTTCTATTGGAAATTCTATTAGTTTTTGAAATTATTTTATTGAAAAAATTAGTAGAATTTAATTTTTATAGGAATTCCTCGACAAGAATTTCCTTATTTTTTCCAATTTACTTTTCTAATTTTTTTATTATACAAAAAAATTTTAAAAATAGGAAATTAGAGTGAACTAATTTAAATAAAAACCATTTTAATAGAATAAGTTGTATAAAAAATCCCGTTTTATTGATTTTTTTCTGTAGAATATTTTCCATTGAACATTCGTATTGAAATAAATAAATTGAAGATAATGATAATCAGTGATTTGAAAGGAACAGAAAAAATTGGAATAATCGATTCGAATGAATAACGAGAAACTGAAAACAAGCGACTTTTACATATTTTCCTGGTCTCGCGAGCGAGATTGAAGAAGTGGTTTTGCTTTTCCTGGAATAACGTTTCCGGTGTTATCTGAAGAGACTACTCATCATACCGTCAAGTAGTGCCTCGAAAAATTAATGAGGAAGGGCTTTGGGTAATCGGACGGTGCACGTGACTCGACCCAGAGTCAACGAAATTAATCAAAGGAGCTGAAAATCTGCCGGCGTTAATCGTATTAAACGAGATAAGTCAATTGAGTAACGAAGTGGTAGAATTTTTCTTATCGAATTATCTTCATAATGAGAGTCTTCAAAGAAATGAAGGGTTGTAAAGTATAAAAATTTTGTTCTTCATTGAACTTTAAGATATTGACTGTAATATTTGAATGAAGTAGATTAGTTGTATCTTGTTTTGAATTCCGGAATAAAAATTTCGTTAGTTCGAGAGTAGAATTGACATCTCATTCTCCCACTTCACCATTTAATTAAATCAACCCCTTCCCGATTAGAATTATCAAACTTCTGCGAAGAAATTCTTCATAAATTCCGTCATCCTTCAATCAACATGTGCAAGTGCATTCACAGGCGTCAGTTATCGCCTACGTGATTAAAATTCCTAGACTAAACCGTGTTCAATATCTCAATGATTTCAAAAATAAAAATGCAGTGGTCATAAAAATTTAGTTCTCTACTGAATTGGTCCAGTCAATCTTGAAATTCAATAAATAAATATTTGAATAAAATACATTAATTTCATTTGGACTCTACTTTTGATTCAACGAGATCGGCCGCACGTGCTGCGCACGCGCCTTCTCATCTCNAAAATTCGATTTTGGCGAAAGTCGACTTTCCCCCTGGAAAACGGAAAATCTGGCCCTTTGAAAATCTGAAAAAAAGAACTTTTTCTGTTTTCACTTTTTCGACATACTTTTGAGAGTTCTGAATAGCCCGTCACTTGAATAGTTGGAATCAACTTTCACCCGGCTAAAAAATTCGATTTTGGCGAAAGTTGACTTTCCCCCTGCAAAACCGGAAAATTTGCCCTTCGAAAATCTGAAAAAAAAACTTTTTCAGTTTTCACTTTTTCCACATACTTGTGAGAGTTCTGAATAGCCCGTCGCTTGAATAGTTGGAATCAACTTTCACCCGGCTAAAAAATTCGATTTTGGCGAAAGTCGACTTTCCCCCTGGGAAACCGGAAAATCTGGGACTTTGAAAAACTGAAAAAAAAAACTTTTTCAGTTTTCACTTTTTCCACATACTTTTGAGAGTTCTGAATAGCCCGTCGCTTAAATAGTTGAAATCAACGTTCA